GATGGACGGCTTAACCGGTCTTTCGCACAAAAGTCGTTGTCCAGAAAGAGTCATTAGTTCCATCAATCCATATCCATTGTCTGAATTAACTGAAACAATTGAGTCTGTATCTGAATTAAGAGAATCCCCTTCTGAAAACGAAGAGCTCAAACGAATAAACTTGTTTTTAGCAAAGACGTGTCTCAGATTTAAAAATTAAAATTTAGCAAGTCGTCAAAATATAGTTAAACTCTACAAATCTATATTGCTTCACTATTCTCTATTCATTATACATATATCAAATATATTAGTTTTAACAAAATAGAAAATGAATTTCAAATATACAATTTAACATGTGCATAGCACGAGTCCTACCTACTGTAGTTCTGTTTTTAAACAAAGAGTCTTGATCTCATATAAAAACAAAAAAAAATGATTTCGGGAAATGAAGTGTCAATGAGACAATTGTTTTACCATGGTGCTATTGCTACAGAGGATTTTTTGGTAAAATATGAATTTATTTTGTATATATAAACCCTAGATGTTGAGGATTCTTAATTTTTCTTGCGAGCTCAAGAAGAGTTACATTCACATCTTTGATCATTCATCATATTTTCTGCAAAATTCAGATTATTCGTAGATCACCTTTATATCAAAGCCTTTCTTGGTATATTGTTCCTTCATAAGCTGCATGAATCTTGCCACTGTTTTTAACTAAACTAGGTCAACCAAATCTGCAGATCTCAATCGAATTTTATCCATGGATGGCCATCTGTCTCAATCTTTATCAACACCCCGGCCCGTCCATAAGGCAGGTAAAGCCTTTGCTTTAGGCCACAAATTATAAATAGAAGAAATGAGGCCACATTTTTGAGAATTTCCAATAGTCCAGTGACAAAACCTTAACCGGAAATGTTATTTATCTCTCAGGTTCAAGTCTCCATGGATGATGTTTTAAATTTTTTTTTTTTAAGTTTTTTTTCAAATCCAATTATGCTTTAGGCCACATATATTGTAGGACCGGCCCTGATCAACACTCACTCTCCCAATCTCTCAAGAACCACAGCAATGAAAGAAAGAAAGAAAGAAAAAAAGAACAGAACAGGAACAGAGGTTCCAAGAAATAGGTAGAAGAAGAAAAAGAAGAAGACGCGAGGCTTTTACGAGTTCGGGAATTGATTGAGATCCCTACGTCTTAGCTAGGTGATATTAGCAATTTACTATCTTCTCAGTTACTGAATTTCTCAGAAGAAATTACACATGTATCATGCACAAGATCGATTCAAGCTCTACCTTTTTATAGCATGTTTTGTTACAACAACTATAACAACCTTTTAACCATAACATGGACATTGAACCAAACCTAAACCGAGTCTACGGAAGCTCAATTATCGGTTCTAATCCAATATACATAGCAAACCCACGGTTAAAACAGTTTCGGTATCACTTGATTTCCAACACCAAGCTCAACACTATCAACAAAAATAAATTGGGGTCAAACTATTAAAGTTTGATTTCCCTTAATATGAATACTACTCATGTAACTTTTTTTAATCCGAATCGCATTTTGTTTTTTTAGACGATGATAACTAATGGAAAGCAAATTTAGGAACTTACTATTGTATTAGTCACTTGTGCTCTCTCCGGTGTGCTTATTTTTGTGAAATTGGAATTGATCACATATATATGGATGTGATCATTTATATTTAGTATTATTTTACAACAAGAGTATAAAAATAGCATGAACTTACAAATTACCATCCAAACTTGAAAAAGAAACTTGATATATGCATGCTCTTTGAGATCATCACACGAGTTGGTCAGAGCCACCTTTCCCAGTCTTTCCTTCGGCGGCTGGTCCATGTTGTTTTTCGACTTTACTATCTACGATTCTCTCTCGAGGGTTACACAAGATTCTTCCTAAAAAATGAGAAGCAATTGCCAAGAATATGATCGCTATGACGATCAAACACCATTGCCAGATTGGAACCTCCATATCTTTAGTTTGGATTTTTAGTCACACAAAGTAAACGCAGAGCAGAAGAAGAAGAGGAGGAAGATGCTTGAAAGTTGTTGGTACTGTTGACCAAAAGGAGTAAGTTGTGAAGAAATGATACGCAAAGATTTGTGGAAGGTAACCAATTTTGTAAACTTCGTAGAAGAAATTGAACTCAATAAAAAAATATCTATACATGTATGATGACATAGGAACAATAATATAGTTTAGTGGACCTACCAATAATGCCCTTTAAATAGTTTTGGAAGCTACTTAATTAAGAGTTTTTTTTTCACTTGGAGTTGGTGTATCAAAATCCTGCATATATTAATTACCATTGTGGTAACGCTTGAATTTAAAAAGCACAACATAAGTTATTAAAAAAAAAGGATACATCATTTCGGATTTAAAGTTTAGTTTGTATGGTCTAAAACTTCGTTTTTGGTTATCGTTTAGGATATCTATGTAGAGGAAGAAACCACATAGATACATGAATCAGAGAAGTAACTTTGTGAGGTTGTTTCTTTTTTCTTTTTCCTTTTCTAACAAAATGCGAGTTCAGCATAACCAACAATATGGATACAACCAACTAAACTACATATTAATATGGGAAAGTTGTCATAAAATCTGTCAAAAAATACAAAAAAAAAACTCTAACTTTAATTTGGGTAAAATAATGCGCTATTTTTTTTATTGCCTTTTTATTTTAATCGATATAATTTTTATTGACTTTCCATTTTAATCGCTAATTTTTGTTGAGTTTACCAAATAAGGCAATGGACCGTCATGATTCAAATACGAAGTGAAACCCATGAACTCCAATACATTCCAATGTGTGTGATTGAATGCGTAGGGGTTTCTAGTTTTTATCTCATATTTGGTGTGACGAGAAACATTTCTTATATCTCAAGTTAACTTCAACATAATAACCCTAAAGATTTTTCATATTAAACCTTGTAACTTGTTATTCAAGTTACTTCAATGAATAACCCAAGTAAGTTTTGTTTTCTTCTTTTCGACAATGATGTATTCAGGTAATTTTGTTCGGTGAAAGGGAGGAAGTGGGCAGCATGTGTTATTCAAGCAGAATGGAAGAGACATTGTAGAAGGAAGTTCACAAAAAAATTTATTCGAAGAAGAAAGCAAACACATCCAAGTTCAAGTAAAGAAAATTTCTAGTTCAACGAGTCAGCCCATGTTCCATGGGACAAATCCTAACAGTACAGTTTGTTAAATAAATGTTTAAATAGGTCGCCATAAACTCTTTGTACTACTATTAGAAGAATGATTATTACTAACTTAAGTTTGTTTAAAGCTATAATTGATTCTTAACCAATTTTATTTCTATTGTAATATGATCTTGGATGAAGATCTATGTCCCTTGAATACACTTCGTGAGGTTGGATGAAAACAGTTTGCGGATTGACTGTTTTTGGTGGTGGTGATCGAGTATATGATCAAGAATGGTGATGTAATCGAGTAGTTGTTGTGATAGAGTAGATGGTGGTGATGGTGTGATCGAGTGATGGATCAGTGAAGCGGATTGAATGGAATGATGAATGGTGATGATGTGAGATCGAGTGATGATGGTGATGATGCGATCGAGTGATGATGGTGATGATGCGATCGAGTGATGGAGAAGGTGTGGTCGAGTAGATGAGGCGAGATCGAATAGAATGGTGAATCGGCGAAGCTGAACGGTTTGAATGGCTTGTGATCGAGTAAGTGTTGGATATGAACGGATCGAGTGATCAAGTGACGAATGATGATGAAGATGCGATCGAGTGATGATGATGCGATCGAGTGATGGTGAGGAGGTGAAGGGTCGAGTAGAACTTCCAAAGGCTGCGAGTTTCCTTTGAACTTCTGGGCTTGTTCGTGCTTGGATATGACACACCAAGAGCATTCACAAGTGAGAAAGGATATTACACACCAATCTCATGATCAAACAGAATCAGAAAGAGATTTTGATAAGAAATTGTTTGATGCTCGATTACAAGGAGAAGAAGTGTTTTTAAAGAGGTAGAAGAGGGTCTAGGAAGTTGTAGAGTCAACCTAGGAAAAGAAAACGAAATTAAACACACAAAGACTGAATTCGAATTTAAAACGGGCTTCTCCTTGGCAATGGGCTGCGAGACAACAACGGGCTCGAGTAAAAAGTGTGTGGGTTTGCCTCGTTAAAAACCTCTCTTGGAAAACCCATTGGGACAAAACCAAGAGGAGGGAAAAAGAGTGCAAGTCACACACCTCCATTGTTATCACTTGAAAGGCTTTAATCGTAACCAATGCGGTTGGATAAGCATCATGTTCAAGGCTGCCCTCAATCTGTTGTAGAAGTGTTGTAATGGCTTGATTTAGTAGCTTTGTCTTTGATCTTGTCATGGGACCGTTGGAAAGATACAATGTAACATTCTCTTCAGCTCCAAGCTCTCCATCTTCATACTTGGTCGAGTGCTTGATCGAGTGGTCCATTGCGTCATCAGTTTCAAGCTTCATTGAGTCTTCAGCTGCTTGGTCGATTGAGTGGTCGAGTGACTGGTGGTCGAGTAGTTGGTCGAGTAGTAGGTGGAGTGACTGGTCCATTGAGTGCTCGATTGCCTGCTCGATTGACTGCTCGATTGCCTGCTCGATTGACTGGTATACTGACTGGTCAAGTAACTCTTCTGGTTCAAGCTGCTCCTTAGCTTTGTGTTCCAAGCTTCCCAATATCACATCATCCTCTCCCAGTTGAAAAAGATTTGACCTCAAATCTGTTTTATCTGCATCAAAAGAAACAAAGTAACATTAAAACCTTTACCAATATTGTACTTACCTTGGAGATCAGTTGGATGATGTTTGTTGTTGTTATGTTGGAGCACTTGAAAGGGTCTATCCATCCTTGGCTTTAGCTTCAGCTTGTATATTCCATCTGGTGGTGCTTCTTTGATCAGTATGTAGCTACTGAGGTCTTGATGTTTATCTTGGTCCAAATCAGGTGGTTTGAATCGGTTATCTTCCTCTCTTCTTCTAGTACTTCCCATGTTCTTCAAGACTGCGTTAACACCTGCATGGGGCTCTTTTGACAAAGACAAGCGAATCATATCTGTGTGATAAGGAATAAAAGGCTTTTTGAGAACGTAAACACTTACCTTAGGGATGCTCCTCTGCTCAAATAATGCATCTGGCGGATTCTCCTTGAGTTGAATGGAACACATGAGTCTTTCTCCTTGACCAAGCATCAACACTGAATTACCGTTAGTGAAATCCCTAGTTTCACTCATGTATCTGTCTTTGGATTCTTTTCGGATGTATGGAGGTTGATGCCAATCAGGAGGCTTTTCTTTGATCGTCAATGGATTTAGTGCACCTTTAGCTCTTCTCAAGTCTTCATGGCTATGGTGTAGGACATTGAATGTGCTTTTCCTTGATGTCAATTCTCCTAAATATTTATGCTTCTCCATTGCTCCTGTTCTTTTCTGAGCACTCATGGGACAGAGCAAGTGCATTATACTTGAAGTAGAAAATTCAAGAACATGATCTTTCACATTGGGATTGCAAAGCTCAATGAATGGGTTCAATTCACATGACATGTTTTTAAGCACATGTTTTGTTTCAGAAAATGTTTTAACCAATGCATATTTAGTTTTACTTCTAAACAGCTCAAATGCATTGCTACACAAAGAAATCCTCAAAGAAGAGCTAAATTCATGAAACTCATCAAAAAGAAAACCATTTGACCTAAAGAATTCTTCAGGTTTGAATGCTTCAAAAGTTGGAATCATTTTGTCAAAAACAGATTTTGAAACACGAAACTCTTTTACCTTTTCTAAACCAAAACGTTTTTCATCTTGAGCAGAAACTAACACAAACAAATTAGTTTCCTTACAGTGCTTTAGTTTGCATCCATTTGCCTTACGGATTGGTTCTGGAACGAAGTCGAGTGGCTGCTCCAAGTGACTAACTGAAGGAAAACTCCTTGGTGTTTCTTCTAGTGATTCATCTTCTACGACCTGCGAAACAGTAACAATACTACTCGGATGCACCGGTTCTAATTGGATTAGTGTTTCACAAGCTTGATTATTTTCAAGCACAAAATCAGGTTTCTTAGACAGATCACACGTATCTTTCACAATTTCAGTAAGAAGAGGAAACTTAGCTTTTTCTGAAGGAGAAGGAAGAGCACACTTAGCTTTTTTGGGTTTGTTATAAGTGTTGAGAATCTTGAGAACTTCTTCTTTAAATTGTTCTTCTGCTATGGAGTTGCTCCTAGCGCTTTCCTTTTGTTCCTTGGGAGCTAAGCTCTTCTTATGATGATCAGATCTCTCTTTAGTAGCAAAACGTCGATGTGAGACTGGTTTCTTTTCTCTAACTGCTAACTCTTGCACTGTGGCATTAGCTAGTGGAGTGCATGGTGCTTGCGGAGCATACTTATTCCTTAGTAGTTTCTTAAGATCTCTCCATGAGGTGATAGGTGGCTCCTTGTAATACCAGCGATCATCAACTTCTTGTACCCACCAGTTGTAAGCGTCTCCAGTGAGTTGGCTAATTGCACTTCCTAGACTCTTCTCGCTCAAGAAGTTGTGGTAATAAAACCATTCGTCCATGTTTATCTCCCACTCTAGGTAGTCTCTTTTTCCTGAAAATTTATAGAGTGCATTAGCAGGTGGAGAATCACAATAAAGCACAAGTTTGGATTTAGGAGTATGAGAGATTTTCTGCAGGCTACTCCATGTGGATCTCAATGTGTTGTCTGGTGGCTTGGGTTTAAGCTCTTGTTCCTTTCTTTTCTTGTAAGCCTCAAATTTCTCGTCCATCATTTTTGTCATTGTGGCTGTGAGAGCTTCAAGCACTAGTTTGCTGCAGTTTTCTCCTTCCTTTGCGTTCACCATGTCCCTGCAATGACCAAAACAAAATAAACAAGTAAAGTGTTCCTTGTAGATCGAGTAACAAAGCAATCAGAATCTGAAAAGTCAAGATTCTACACAACTTCTAAAGAATCCCAATCGAGCAAGCATAGAAGTCAAAGAGTTTTGTTCCTAATCGCTCGATCGAGTACATATTTGACTAGTTCAGAACGTGATCTAAACGATTTAACAAGTTTCATTCAAATCGGATAAGTACTCAAGCCTTAAACGATGAAACAATTTCGCAACACAAATTAGAAGTCGAAAAGTCTAGATTGATACAACCTGACACGAAGTGGCTCTGATACCACTTAATATGATCTTGGATGAAGATCTATGTCCCTTGAATACACTTCGTGAGGTTGGATGAAAACAGTTTGCGGATTGACTGTTTTTGGTGGTGGTGATCGAGTATATGATCAAGAATGGTGATGTGATCGAGTAGTTGTTGTGATAGAGTAGATGGTGGTGATGGTGTGATCGAGTGATGGATCGGTGAAGCGGATTGAATGGAATGATGAATGGTGATGATGTGAGATCGAGTGATGATGGTGATGATGCGATCGAGTGATGATGGTGATGATGCGATCGAGTGATGGAGAAGGTGTGGTCGAGTAGATGAGGCGAGATCGAATAGAATGGTGAATCGGCGAAGCTGAACGGTTTGAATGGCTTGTGATCGAGTAAGTGTTGGATATGAACGGATCGAGTGATCAAGTGACGAATGATGATGAAGATGCGATCGAGTGATGATGATGCGATCGAGTGATGGTGAGGAGGTGAAGGGTCGAGTAGAACTTCCAAAGGCTGCGAGTTTCCTTTGAACTTCTGGGCTTGTTCGTGCTTGGATATGACACACCAAGAGCATTCACAAGTGAGAAAGGATATTACACACCAATCTCATGATCAAACAGAATCAGAAAGAGATTTTGATAAGAAATTGTTTGATGTTCGATTACAAGGAGAAGAAGTGTTTTTAAAGAGGTAGAAGAGGGTCTAGGAAGTTGTAGAGTCAACCTAGGAAAAGAAAACGAAATTAAACACACAAAGACTGAATTCGAATTTAAAACGGGCTTCTCCTTGGCAATGGGCTGCGAGACAACAACGGGCTCGAGTAAAGAGTGTGTGGGCTTGCCTCGTTAAAAACCTCTCTTGGAAAACCCATTGGGACAAAACCAAGAGGAGGGAAAAAGAGTGCAAGTCACACACCTCCATTGTTATCACTTGAAAGGCTTTAATCGTAACCAATGCGGTTGGACAAGCATCATGTTCAAGGCTGCCCTCAATCTGTTGTAGAAGTGTTGTAATGGCTTGATTTAGTAGCTTTGTCTTTGATCTTGTCATGGGACCGTTGGAAAGATACAATGTAACATTCTCTTCAGCTCCAAGCTCTCCATCTTCATACTTGGTCGAGTGCTTGATCGAGTGGTCCATTGCGTCATCAGTTTCAAGCTTCATTGAGTCTTCAGCTGCATGGTCGATTGAGTGGTCGAGTGACTGGTCGAGTGACTGGTGGTCGAGTAGTTGGTCGAGTAGTAGGTGGAGTGACTGGTCCATTGAGTACTCGATTGCCTGCTCGATTGACTGCTCGATTGCCTGCTCGATTGACTGGTATACTGACTGGTCAAGTAACTCTTCTGGTTCAAGCTGCTCCTTAGCTTCGTGTTCCAAGCTTCCCAATATCACATCATATTGGTTTTTCTGACAGAAATATGGATAATATATAACTTGAAAAATAACATAGACACGATACAAATAATCACTTAACCAAATGGGAGTATAAAGACAACTTGGGGCAAAACCTATTATGTTGAGGGCTCTTCTTTGCTAAAGTATATGCAACAACATTAAAGGACCAATTTACACATATATATGAAAAAGGCAAGTAATTTGGAAAAAAAGGAAAGAAATTAGACATGTTAAGTAAATTGGGTAAATTACCAAAAACATATATCACCAATTTGTAGAAACTAGAAAGAAATTATTTTGTAACAGCTATTATTTTTACTAATTTTAAAAGCATTAGTAAAATTTGGACAATTCATTTTGGAGAAATAAACATAGTAAACTAAAAGTTATAATCTTTAACCAAATAAAAATAAGCAAACCAAATTAGATTGACAAAACCAAAAGCTAAACCGAACTAAACCAAAACCTAACGAAAAAGGAATATTCTCGAGAACCGACTTCACTCATCCCTAATTTACACACTCTTTATACTATTTCTCGCCGCCGCTTTTGTATCTTCTCTCTCGCTCGCTTTGCTCTCTCGGAAAATTTTGCAGAAAGCTCTCTCGTAAGAATCGATCTATCAACTTCTTCTCCATATTTTCTTCTTTCGTTTCGAAATTTCATCGACGATTCACTGATTTTACTTGGTGTTTTCTTTGGTACTAGATCTGAACTCAGAAAATCTCCGAGTTCGTATATCTTCTCCGTTTGAGCAATGGCGTTGGTAAGTACTCACTTCTGAGCTCATTAAATGTTCGATTAGATCCTTGACGATTGCTTTTAGTGATCTGTTGATGATAGTTTTCGAATTTGATTCGTGCACGTTGCATCTGAGAATATAGTTTGATTTTGGAATGATTTAGGTTTTGTATTTTGATTTGTTCTCGATTTGTGTATCTAGAGCTTTGTTTGTTAGTGTTTGGTATTTCTTCAATCATCTTGAGAATTGGATTTTGTGTTGCATAGAGAAACTAATTTGATGAATATAACTATGCAATTATTGTTGAGTTTCATTGATGAATTTTGTTCCAATCTTACTATTTTCAGGTTTTGCACACATACAAGGGAAACAAAGGTGCCAATAAGGCACTTGTTGCTGCGGAGTATGCGGGTGTGAAGATCGAGGAGGCCTCAGACTTTCAGATGGGCGTCACTAACAAGTCACCAGAGTTCCTTAAGATGAACCCTATTGGAAAGGTGTGAATTCTCTCTTTCGATAAGGTGTATGTTTTGATTGATGTTTGCTGTAATATCCTAGCTAATTAAAGGTTATGATCCTATTAGGTTCCTGTGCTTGAGACTCCTGAAGGTCCTATCTTTGAGAGCAATGCCATTGCCCGATACGGTATAAGTTCATTTCCCTCTATTTTCTTCTGTGCCACATGATTCATTGCTTGGAATTAATTGGTTATAATCCATTATTTGATATCCCACATCAGTGAGCCGTAAGAATGGGGACAACTCTTTGAATGGATCCTCCCTCATTGAATACGTAAGCTCCTGTTTATCCCATGGCCTCTCCTTTTAAAAAGTTTGTTTTGTTTTTACTATTATTGTACCTTTGTGTTCATCTCTTGTTTACTGTTGATTCATGTCTGTGCATGTGTTTACTTTTCAGGCTCACGTTGAGCAATGGATCGATTTTGCCTCGTTGGAGATTGACGCTCACATGTTGAAGTGGTTCGCTCCAAGATTGGGCTTTGCTCCCTTCTCTGCTCCAGTAAGTTTTCCCTCATATTTCGTGCTTGTCTCATGCACTCTCTGTGCTAACAAATCATGCTATTTTTTGTTCTCTAAGATTAGTAGTAGACTATTCTAAGCTCTTCTCATCTTTATAATGGTTTATATGAATGAAGGCTGAGGAAGCGGCAATTTCTGCATTGAAGAGAGGACTTGAGGCTCTGAACACACATCTCGCCTCCAACACTTACCTTGTTGGACACTCTGTTACCCTTGCTGATATTGTCACCATCTGCAACTTGAACTTGGGATTTGCTACAGTGATGACCAAGAAATTTACCTCTGCATTCCCTCATGTTGAGAGATACTTCTGGACAATGGTTAACCAGCCAAACTTCAAGAAGGTGTTGGGTGATGCCAAACAAACTGAAGCTGTCCCTCCAGTTCCATCTAAGAAAGCTCCACAGCCTGCAAAGCCCAAGGAGGAGCCTAAGAAGGCAGCCCCTGTTGCAGAGGCACCAAAGCCTGCTGAGGAGGAAGAAGCACCAAAGCCTAAAGCCAAGAATCCTCTCGATTTGCTACCACCAAGCCCAATGGTTCTTGATGACTGGAAGAGGCTTTACTCGAACACCAAATCCAACTTCCGTGAGGTTGCTATTAAAGGTATGTTATATGATCACTTCTCTTAATGTGTTTTTGAAGAGATGCAGGAAAAAAAATTTAGGCTTATAGAATCAATCTGTTAAGAACAAAGCTACAAGACTGTTGCGGACTTAGTCAACCTAATCAACTGATCAACAATAGAAAATCCATACCCTTACCAATCTGTTGTGACTCCTTATAATACCAGTGCTCTCTAATCAACTCACAGCAGCTCTAGTTTGCTAGATTCCCTCCCAAGCTAGATATAGTAGACTTATAGCTTAAGAGTTGATCCTGAAAGTACATTCTATTAGAAGCTCACTACCTTCAATGTTTGTATTCAATGCAGGATTCTGGGACATGTATGACCCAGAGGGGTACTCACTATGGTTCTGTGACTACAAGTACAACGATGAGAACATGGTCTCCTTTGTTACACTCAACAAGGTAGGAGGGTTCCTTCAGCGTATGGACTTGGCACGTAAATACTCCTTCGGAAAGATGCTGATTTGCGGGTCAGAGGGTCCTTTCAAGGTGAAGGGTTTATGGCTCTTCCGTGGACCAGAGATCCCTAAGTTCATAATGGATGAGGTGTACGACATGGAGCTGTACGAGTGGACTAAGGTTGATATCTCAGATGAAGCACAGAAGGAGCGTGTTAGCCAGATGATTGAAGATGCCGAGCCATTTGAAGGCGAGGCTCTTTTGGACGCGAAATGCTTTAAGTGAAAAGGCTCTTCACTGTCCGTTGTATCCCTCTTATCTCCATAGGGGTTTACTCTGTTACTCGTTTTGATATCTTCTAGAGTCCCTTACAACCTTTTGAAACGTAGATTCGGTTTTCTTTCTTGGATTTAAGAACTAGTCGCTTCTCATGTTATTGTGACAGAATGTCTTACTTAATACTTTACAACTTCTAGTTATTGTGTTTATTATCATTATTATCAAAACTCGAGTGTAACAATGTCACTAGCCGCATGATCCATCAGCTTGAGGCATGTACCCAATAAGAAAAAGTCTCACAAAGAGATCAAAAGAGACATCGTTTAAAAAAGGAAATAAGTTCCCAAAGAAATCGAAAAACCAAATACCTAATATGAGTTTAGAGATTAACCTAAATTAAGATATTCATAATATTATCTCAAGAAAATCCAACAAATCGAATCATTACAATATTATCTCTAGAAAGTCAACAAATCTTTAGCGTAACAGCTTTGATTATAAGATTATTACAAGTAGGCGGCGAACAAAAGAAACGTGTGAATGAATCCATCTTTCTTAATCTAAAAACCCTAAAAAAGAAATCTTCATGACTCTGTTTAGGAGGAGTAGTAGGGATGGTTGTCGTCATCGTCATCTTCAAGAATAACAGTGCGGCAGAGAGGGCAAAGAGTATTATCAATTAACCACTTGTGGATACAGTTATCATGAAACACATGGGGACAATTCGGCATCTCTTGAAAGTCTTGTACATCCTCTGACATATCCTCCAAACAAATAGCACATGTCTCATTGTCTTGAGTAGAACTAGAAGAAGATGATCCGATGAATCTCACTGTACCGTGAAGGTACATGTTAAACGGCGCTGGAACTTGTTCGGATGCTAAAGCCATCTCGACGCAGAGACGACTGCGTAAGAGATCGTCTTGGAAGGTTGAATAGAGGAGAGAAGAGGTCTTGTGTGGATCAAAGCTAACCATGTTGTTTATGATCGTGATTGGGAACGGAGGGGCATCATGACACGTGTCGTCTCTCTCAAGCTTGACATATATCTCCACTCTATTTGATGGAGACTTGCGTGGACTCGGAAAGACGTTAACATCGATGGTGATTTCTGGAAACATTATTGTTTTTGGAATTAGCAGACAAAGGTATGAAATCGAACAAGAGACAGAGGTAGAGAGGAAGTGATCTTTGTGTTGTGTTGAATGTTGACAAGTGATCTTGTGTTGTTGTTATTTTATAACTAAACTCTAGTCGGCGCTTTCCTTTTTGTTTTTACAATTTCCATTGTTTTTTTCTTAATCTCCTTTTTGTTTTTACAATTTCCTTTTTTTTTTAATCTCTAGTAATCATCACTAAGATTTGTAAATTGTTATTCTACAAAATTATCTCAAATCAATTTAAATTAATCTCCATAAAATTTAAAAGTATCTAAATAAATCCAAATTACGAATTCAATTTGGAAATCGTGGAATCAAATCCAAATGATTAAAAGGAAATCCCAAAACCCTGTATTATCTAAAATATAAAATGAAGAAAAGGAAAATGTAAACAACACCAAAACGCAACACCTAATGGATACTAAGCATCACTTATTAATAGTTACCGTAGAAGCCAAGCAAGAAGAAGAATCATATCTTCTTACTAAGTACTAACGGTGACTTTAAGACCATGCTTCATACTGAGAATGCCAGAAGGAACTGGTTAGATCTTGTGACCTTCAACAATCTTAAACTCATAGTTTCCTATGATGCCCACGACTACTATCTTCGTCTCCTCTCTTCTTGAAGATATGATCTTCGCAAGCATTTGATTGACAGTGACCATCCAAGTTCTCAGCTTCCTCTCAAGACCAATCCCAATCCCATTTTGAAGCTTCCACAAAATCAACGGTTTGAGATATCTATAGAAGATCACTTCTTCACCGAGATCTACAGCTTCACCATCTCAACTTAAATTGATAGAGACATAAGATCGTAACCAGTCATTAAAATCGAAGAAGTATCAAACATAAATCTCTGCAACACATCTTGTAAGTCCATGATGATGTTTTTCTAAGCAGCAATATCAAGAAAAAGCAAAACATCCTACTTTAACTTACTTATCTACTTATTGAGAGCTCAAGAAAATCTTGATGGTGAAAAGTGGTGTGACTTGACTTCCTTAGATCCTCCCACAACTCCGAATCAGCGGCTAATATGCCATCTCCCAAATCATCAAAGATCTTCTTGATATCGAGTCCTTTAGGGTAGTTCCTAAAGTTTAAACTAAATATGTGATGAATGTTCTTTGGATCAGCCGTGAGTAACAAGTCTGTTCCAGTAAACCAGGACCCTTTGAGATAAAAAGTCAGATCGTTGGCCTCAAGAACGGTCCAGTCAAATATTTGAGGGATTTGGACGAGCAGACCTGGAAGCATCCCTAGGAAAGGCCAGTTCTTCAGCAAAGGGCTTCACTGAGATTTCTTGTGGAGGAAGAAACATTGGAATACAAGGAAAAAAGCGAATGCTATGATGAAGACTTCAAGTTTTCATGGTCGATCCTATGAAAACAGTTTTTCGGTAATCATATTCCATATGAGTTTCTAAAAACAATTGTGGTCAGAACTCATAAGGTTTTGAGAATAATCTGTCTGGTTTTTAGATTTTATTACGAATGCAAACAAGGATATCCATACAAGGAAACATAAAGATATGGAAGATATGCGTTTGCGTTTCAGAGAAGCCATGAAAATCTTTATACCGAAGCCAGCGGATTTTATGCAACGATATGGAAAATATCAACAAAATAAAATAAAAAAGGAAAACAATGCTCATCATATTAGAAAGCATCTCAACCGTCTGATTAAAAGCTAAGAAACTTGGTTGCTTGTCTTTATTTTAGGTTTTCTTCTTTTATTGCTTCCAACCAAGAAACCGATCCCCAAAAATATGAACGGAAGAGAAAAGAAAGTTAGAAAACTTCCAATAAGAAGAGCAAACAAGAATGGAGCAATGACCAAGCATCATGATCATGTTTCCGAGGAGATTCTGATTGAGATACTAGCGAGGTTACCATTGAGAAGCATCAGGAGATTCAAATCTGTTTGCAAAACATGGAAATCGGTAACAGAAACAGATTATTTCCGGCGGCTCTTTGTGTCTCTGCACAAAAACTCCTCTTCCTCTTGGTCACTAGTGGTGGGGACCAAGGCAAGTGACCTCATAAGCTTGCATAGATGCGAGACATGGGATCTTCCAAAGTCTCTAGCTTGTTATATTCAGAGTCATATAACAACAGGTCATCTCGACTACGTGGCCTCTTCCAATGGATTGGTTTTCATGGATGGATATGATACTTCCTTCGTGGGCAATCCAGTATTACAACAGTGGGTTCAAATCCCTTCCCTTCCATATCCTTTTGTAACTCTTCCCTTTGGTCTTGTGACGCGCGTGGACGACGACGGCGTAGTTCTTGGCTTCAAAGTGGTTAGGATCGCTGGAGATAAACAAAAGAGACAAGAATCATTGACTATGTTGTGTCTTTGTGTGTATTCGTCTGAGACAGGCGTTTGGTCTAAAAAGCGACTTGATTGCTCTCATTACTTTACCAACTGGGGTCTTCCTATGGCTCTCAACGGGACGCTTTTTATATCACCAGAAGATATTGATGATCCTGCTGCTGTATCAGGAACGCTTATAGCTCATGATTTCTATGGTGAAGAATCCGATCTATGTCGGGTTATACCTCTCCCGGATCATGATCTGGATCACAACTGGTACTTCAAAAGAGCCTTGACTACATCCGCAGGATCAGTCATCTATATCAAAACACTAGCTCACAATCTTTTGAAGGTTTGGACGTTGACCAAAAATGATGATTGGAAGCTTCTGTGGGAGATACGCCTCCCGTTTATAACTTGTGATGATGATATCCTCTATTATGCTCCCTTGGCAATGAATCCGTTTGATGGCAGTATTGTCTACTTATGGAGTCAACAGAAGCATTATTTGGTATCGTGTAACTTGCAGACGCACAACTTCAAAATCTTGAGCGAAGAAGAAGAATCTACAAGGCATATTGATGATGGTCTTGAAAAATGTGTTGTGAACCAGTCTACATGTGAGCAGCTTATGAATGCGAGTTTTGATCCAGACTCATTGGACCATTGTGTATATCCACTCACTCTTTTCCATTTCGTTCTCCCACGGTGGATGGAATCGCTGCCATGTCCTCCCCAAGTTGAGATGATGGATACAAGTTCACTACTCTCTTACATTCTTGTAATGGAGGCGAATAGACCAGAGTTTAAGGATACCTTTGGAATTCGTGAACGCTTGTTGCGTAGCCGTTTCTTCTCGACAAAACGGAGAGAATAGTAGAGGCGAATAGGGGTTTTTCGATTCGATCTTTTGTGTTTTTTTTTTTTAATTTGTTTGTTCCGGATTTTTTTCCCATGTTTTTGTTATAATTCTATCGTAGTATTTGATGTTGATTTCGATGTTTTAAGTCTTGTTGAAACATGTTACGTGGTATGCCTCTCAAAATCTTGAGAGTTCTTTCCTTTCAGATCTTTAAAATTCAGGTTCTTCTAGACTGAATTGGTTGTCATTTTTTCAAAACAGATGGTGTGTTTGGAGCTATGGTGCAAGTAGGAGATAAATCCAATCAATAAACAGATGGTTTTTATTCGTTATCTTAATCCAAAGAACAGAGAAAGCAAAGGAGACAATAATTGTTGAAAGGATTAATGTCAAAAGGAAAAGGAGATATTCAGGTGATGAGTCAGAATCATAAGAGATGTCTTTCTTGTACCAAAGCTTGGCAAAAATCAATCTCTTGAGTGTTCCTCAAATGATCATTAATGAATACCAAGTCAAGTTTAAACAGAAAAGCTGCATCATACATGTAAACTGGGAAGAAAGATTGGTGAAGTTAAGATAGTGAACAAGAGCTTCCATATAAAATGGCCTTCTAAAGGAGAAAGTGCAATGGTAGTCAAGAGTGAGGTTGCAGAACTGTGGCACCAAAGGCTTGGACACGTCGGATACTCAAACCTGAAGATAATTCAGTCTAAAGAAATGATTCAAAGTAGATAAAGAAAGATGTGAAAGCTGCATTCTGAGCAAGCACAGCCGTGATCCATTCCCAAAAGAATCAGAATCAAGAGTAAGAGAAAAGCTTGAACTGATTCACAGTGATGTATGCGGCCCAGCAAAACTCATCTATAAAAGGTAGCAAATACCTTGTGACTTTTATTGATGATGCAACAAGAATGGTCTGGGTATATTTTTTGAAGGCAAAGTCAGAAGTGTTCAACACATTCAAAAGGTTCAAGCATCTTGTTGAGAATCAAGCTGGTTGTAGAATCAAGAAGTTAAGAACTGATAGAGGAACAGAGTATCTCTCTGGAGATTTTACAAGATTTCTAGAACAAAACGGCATTGAAAGACAATTGACTGCAACATACTCTCACCACAGCAAAATGGCGTCTCAGAAAGGAGAAACAGAAGCTTGGTAGAGATGGCAAGAGCCATGATCAAAGCAAAAGACCCAAAACAGAACAACAACTAGGGCGCTTGAGAACAAGACACCATTTGAAGCTTGGAGTTCTGAGACCAAAGGCTACAGGGTCTATGTACTGGAAGAGAACAAGATTGACATCTCCAGGGATGTTATTCTTGAAGAAGAAAGCAAATGGGATTGGAGCAACAAAGAAGTGATAAGAAATACAAGTCAGAGAAGAAGAAAGGTAGGTAAAGCATAATTAACAGATGCATTGCCTGTAAAAAACGCATCAAAGTTCTATAATTAACAGATTCCTGATTCTTATCTGTTGAGGTATAATTGTACTTTCTTCAGTGTGATAATTTACTATGTTGAGGAACCTGTATCAGCTTATATCCGATCACTTGTTTCAACGATATTGTTGATAAATGATCGGCTACTTTGATTTGATCTTCTTTTAACCATCTCATGTGTTACAGGATATAGTGGTTTAGTGCTCATTAATCCTCTTCCTAATATTCTTATGGTACCGAAGATTATCTTCTCAACCAAATGCCTGGGAGATGCAGAGGTCGAATCTTGTTTCTACTGTAATACAGGTACCAAACTTGCTCAACTCTTGTCATTTAACTTCTTTTTTTTAAGAACTCAAAACCACACATAAGTTTTTTATTTCAAGCTTTTTATCCTTTTTAGTAAGTAAATATCCAGATGACAGGAAGCTCTTGCTTCTAGATTGCTCAAGCTCTGTTGATTTTTTGGTTTTTTCAGCTAAAAGCTTTAGGGATAGATAATATCTTGGTTTTAAATGGCCTGCACCTCGGTCCCATGAACAATGATCCGGAGCACTTGAAGTACTTTATTCACTTCAGATCCGAGCATGATGATGCTAAACTCACTTCGCCAACAGGATTCCAAGTTGCAAAACTTGTACTGGTACTTTTTCTTCCTGACCTTAAATTATTATATATCTAAGATATAATGTTCATTTGCAGTTTCTACATGTCTCCATTTCATCGTCGAAAATGACTTTGGCTTCAAGTGAGCTTGGTTGTTCAGATGAGATCATTGCAACCGCTGCAGTTCTCTCTATCCTGTTAAAAAGGTTAAGCTATGTTTGCAGATACATAGAAACTTCTGAACAGTGCTATGTTCCAGGAGAAGGAATTGATTTTACATGAAGATGTTAAATTCAGGTGGAGCTATGTTTAGAAGAAGTCTCAAGTCATATCAGGTCTTAAATGATTTAAGAAGTATATGCTAGCTTAAAAGGAAAGAGTTAAAAAGCTGCATAACTCATTGTTGAATAACGGTTCATGAAAAGAGCAAGCCAAGAACAAAAAAGGTTACCGATGTGTAAAAAGATTTACAGATTTGTTTGAAGCCGGTTGATTGGTAAAGGCATTCAGCGAGTTGCAGGTCTGTGGAAATTTTATTCAGTGCTAAGTAAGCTAGAGATGAGATTATTGAAGTGGTTCAGTGGAATTCTCAGAAGAAGAAAATGAAAGAGACACGTACAAGTAAATGTATCGCAAGAGTTGTCTCAAGACTGATCACTTCAAGAATGTGAAGGTGTTGTGTATATAGCTTGATGGACAACTTATCTCAAAGCTAGTGTCAGAAACTGAAGAGGAGTCCTAGAAAGGACGAAAAATGCAGAGAAATCAAGCTGCATTTAGAAGAAAGACAACAACTCAGGAGTGTAAAGCTGTCTTGGTTGCATCATGAGGAGACTACATACATAAGAAGAAGAAGTCATTGTTCTCTGTGTCTGTTCTTGTAATGATACAGAGATAAATAGAGCTTCCCTTTTCTCTTCCTCTATTTCTGATATCACATTTGTCTGCAGCTCCACTATCTTTTCCAGCTCTTTCAACTCTAGTCATCAGACACAAGCTCAGTATCTTTGACACACACCTGGATATATCTCTTGATCCACGTTTTATTTAGATGGAATGAATATTGAATTATAATTTTGCCCACATCTTATTAAGATGGAATGAATATTAAATTTATGTCACCAAAACAAAAAGCCTATGAGTCTATGACATAAATTTAATACTATAACAATATATATATATATATATATATATATATATATATATTTTTGGAGTTTTCATTGTTGAAGCTTAAAAAAAAACTTTTTTTGTTCAACAAAAGAGAAAAACTTATAAAATTAATTATGTATGTTACCATACTAAATATATATATATATATATATATATGTTTATAATTTTATAAGTTTTTCTCTTTTGTTGAACAAAAAAAGTATTTTTTATATAAGTTTCTTTTGTTGAACAAAAATATATATTTATTTAGTATGGTAGCATATATATATATATATAGATTTGGCTACGTAAAAATGAATGTTGCATAACGTTATTTCAGTTATATTTTGATTTATTCCTGAAACATTCATTGTTTGATTCCAGTCGTAGAGATTAGAAAGATTAGGGTCGATATTGTAAGAGTAATAAAAATCGAGGACCGGAAAGAAATATTTTACTAATAGTGTGTAAAAGGTAATTTAATAATAAAAATTATAATTTCCCTCCAGACTTTTTAAAGCTCTGTCTTCTCCGTTGATAGATTTCTCTCCATCGTTTCTCCAGTTTCCATCAAATCGCTGAAACCCTAATTCGACGATTCTCATAATCAATTTCGCATGGTCACCATGAATACAAGCTACTTCAAGCTTTCGAAACCTCTGGGTTAGTTCCTCAATTTCTCATTCTCTCTATTAGCTGTTCCTGAATGATAATTTTTCATCTCTGATTCTGAATTTGTGATCACCGAATCGAAAGAAACTTTGGGGTTTTTGATTCTGGTTATGAGTATTGCCTATGAAAAATTGCTTCCAATCGTTTAGGATTATGATCTTTGTGAAAGCTGGTTCTGATTTTGGACTCTGTATATGGTTTTGATTCTCTCTTTGCTCTTGATTTCTATGTTTGTGTTTGTTCTTGACTCTTAGGGATACAAATTATACATAATCATGTTTATTTTTCTTCTTTTGTTTGAATGTTATGCTTTACTCTGTGATTGATCTTTTGGTTTTACTTTGATAATCAGAGGAAAGGATGGATAAAGTTGCTCGAATCAGAGACAAGTACCCTGAGAGATTTCCGGTACATTTTCACTTGATGAACATAACATTTCATAGTCTTACTAAGTTTAGTTAAAGCAATGTTCTGATTTAGAAACACTTAAACTTGTTAGGTAATTGTTGAAAAGAGTGGAGAAAGTGATGTTCCTGACATTGACAAGCATAAGTAAGTAGAGATATGTTCTTCCATCTTGTCTCTCTTTGTAGATTCCTTGTCTTTGAGTAACTGTTGATTAAGTGATGAGTAGAGATGAGTAGATTTGCTTTACACTTTGTTTAGGTTTCTCGTCCCAGCAAATCTAAACGCTGGAGAATTTGTGTCTGTGCTTCGTAAGCAAATGAAGCTAAGAGATCAGACAGAAATCTTTGTCTTTTTCAAGAACACACTCATGACACCAACTAGTAAGGGTCTTTTAACACCGCAGTTTCATTCTTCACCTGAAACTTGGTCTCACTTGTCTACTTTTGTTTATTGACAGCTGCATTGATGTCTGAGATATATGAAAAACACAAAGATGAAGATGGGTTCCTCTACATGACTTACAGCGGTGAAGATATTTTGTGTGCAGCCAAGACTTCTCTTCGTATTGCAGATTCTCTAACGCAGGAACACCCAAGTGGAGCTATATTGTTAGAATCACTCCCTGAGACATGGAGGCCTCTGCTTTCAACTCTGGAAAAGCTTGTTTCTATGTCTGAATCAGATAAGGAGTTTAAGAAACGCTTTGAGGAGATTCTAAAACGCTGGACAGATGCATTCTGCAGTTTACTGATTTGTGTTTCGACAAAAGAGGATATACCTTGGGTCATGAAGCTAAAAGAGCTCACAAACTTTTACGTGAGGAACCATCTAGTTCAAAGTTTGTTTCCAAGACTACTACTACAAATTGAAGACGATGTTGAAGATCACCAGCTTCAGGTTGTGGTTTCTAGAACAAGTCTCTTTAAAGATTCGTTGAATCAAGTCATGGCTGCAGACCCATGGGACTTCCATGCTGGGATTTCTATTCAGTTTGAATATGAAGAAGCTGAAGGAGATGGAGTATTAAGGGAGTGGCTTTGTTTGGTCTGCAACAACCTATTTGATCCGGAAAACAAGCTATTCATACCTTCTCCAGACGATTCTAGACGGTTTTCCCCACATCCGAACCCCTTGATGGAAGAGAATTATCTACAGAAATACCGATTTTCTGGGAGGATAATATCTATGGCTTTGAAGCACGAAATGCAAGTCGGGATTTTGTTTGATCCTCTCTTCTTCCTTCACCTAGCTGGAAAGAAACTCTTCTCCTGGAAAGACTTGATTCACACGGACAAGGAATTGCACAAGAAATACAAGGAAATGCTTGAGATGGATGCTCAAGAGTTTGATGCTTTGCAGGGATATGGACTTACTTTCTCAGGGCTGTGTTACGATAATGATAACAGACAAGTTACAAGTTCAAACAGAGAGGAGTACATCACTTTGATCATGCATGACCGCTATTTTCTCCGAATCAGGGACCAAGTTCTGCATTTCTCTTATGGTGTTGAAGACATGATTGATGAAGGAGTTAAAGCTGATAGATTCTTCAGTTTGTTGAAACTTGAAGACTTGGACTCAATGCTCCGTGGATCACAATATGACGTCATCAATGTAGAGGATTGGAATCAATATACCGATTATGTCAACTATCAACGAAGTGATAATGTGATCTTATGGTTTTGGAATGTAAGAAGTCTTCTTCCTTGGTGGTTGAAATTTTTAGATTGCAATCAACTTACTTGATCTATTCTTTTATTGTTTCAGGTGGTCTCTCAAATGAACCAAGAAGACTTGCATAGGCTTTTGTGCTTCTGGACATCACACCGGTTTTTGCCTAGAGATGGATTTCAAGGACTTCCAAGACTCTCCATCTTGAGAATGGATACACCGAAAGAATCAAAGAATCTATACAAGCCCCAATCGCAAACTTGTTGCTATAGCCTTCGCCTTCCCGATTACGACACATATAAACACACGGAGCGAGCTATCATGTGGATCACGCACGAATACACTGGTTTTGGTGAAGCATAGGCTTAACACTCTGGTTTTGGTGAAGCATAGGCTTAATAATCTGGTTTTGGTGAAACATAGAGCTTATAGGTGTTTGATTGATTTGGTGCATTATATAGCATCTTTCTTTCTTCCCACGGATGGATGTGTACTTGATTGCTTTTACAGGTATAGAGAACTTTTACAGTGTAAACAATAAGTATAAATGGATGAATATTGTTAGACTTGTAACTCACAAAGTCTATGCCAATTTTCCTAATACAACAAGGACACATAGGAAATTATGGATCGATATGCCAACTTAACAATATATACGCGATCTAAACAGGAGAATATTGATCAATATTCCATCTAAATAAAACGTGGATCAAGAGATATATCCAGGTGTGTGTCAAAGATACTGAGCTTGTGTCTGATGACTAGAGTTGAAAGAGCTGGAAAAGATAGTGGAGCTGCAGACAAATGTGATATCAGAAATAGAGGAAGAGAAAAGGGAAGCTCTATTTATCTCTGTATCATTACAAGAACAGACACAGAGAACAATGACTTCTTCTTCTTATGTATGTAGTCTCCTCATGATGCAACCAAGACAGCTTTACACTCCTGAGTTGTTGTCTTTCTAAATGCAGCTTGATTTCTCTGCATTTTTCGTCCTTTCTAGGACTCCTCTTCAGTTTCTGACACTAGCTTTGAGATAAGTTGTCCATCAAGCTATATACACAACACCTTCACATTCTTCAAGTGATCAGTCTTGAGACAACTCTTGGGATACATTTACTTGTACATGTCTCTTTCATTTTCTTCTTCTGAGAATCCCACTGAACCACTTCAATAATCTCATCTCTAGCTTACTTCGCACTGAAAATTTTTCCACAGATCTGCAACATATTTTAGAAACCTTCAACCTTTCAGAACTAAAACCATTCTCCACTGATTTTTGATCCAATTCCCTGTTCTTCCGTATCAAAATGTTAAATCATGGCTCCTTACTTGAGAAAGTGTGTCAGAACTTGAGACACATCTTCTTTCTTCTTGCAGCCACTCCAATTGATCCATTTTTACCCAAAGAACACCAAGAACCTTTTTTATTTCCAGCAGCCTTTTCATCTTTACTTGGGGCATTCTTCATGCTCTAATAGTGCAACCAACAACTTAGGCTGACACACCACCAAACCATACCTCAATCCCAGAAATCAAAATCTACATGTCTCTGTCACATGGTTTCAAGGTGTTCCCTGGTTTCAACTACTTTTTTCTGCGAAATTCTTGTAAGGCTTTTCCGACTCAAAGAAACCCTTTGTATACATTCAGGAATGTGACATGCTCACCCTATATAGACAAGAACAATGATTTCACTCATCAGTCAAAAAAGATTTCCACAGATATAGTTCTATAGCAATATATACCTCTGCGGCTGAAAATCTCAGTTTTGCTTCATCTTGTTCTGGCAATGACCCAAACGGACTGCAAAGTAATATGTTTAAGATTGCATCCGTTGCAATGAAAAAGGGGTTTTACTAGGATAGAGAGAACTGCAGTGGTTGCAATGATCTCATCAGAACAACCAAGCTCACTTGAAGCCAAAATCATTTTCGACGATGAAATGGAGACATGTAGAAACTGCAAATGAACATTACATCTTAGGTATATAATAACTCAAGGTCAGGAAGAAAAAGTACCAGTGGAAGTTCTGCAACTTGGAATCCTGTTGGCGAAGTGAGTTTAGCATCATCATCGGGAAGATCTGAAGTGAATAAAGTACTTCAAGTGCTCGGATCATTGTTTTATGTAACGGAGGTGCAGGCCATTCGAAACCAAGATATTATCTATGCCTAAAGCTTTTAGCTGAAAAAACCAAAAAATCAACAGAGCTTGAGCAATCTAGAAGCAAGAGCTTCCTGTCATCTGGATATTTACTTACTAAAAAGCTATAAAAAAACTTATGTGTGGTTTTGAGTTCTTAAAAAAAAATGAAGCTAAATGACAAGAGTTGAGCAATTTTGGTACCTGTTTTACAGTAGAAACAAGATTCGACCTCTGCATCGAGAAGATAATCTTCGGTGTAAAGCCTATTTACCATAAGAATATCAGGAAGAGGATTAATGAGCACTAAACCACTATATCAGACACAATTCTGTCACTTTTATAAACGGATAGAGTTACCTGTAACACACTTCCCAGGCCAATGGTTATATACTAAAAGATGGTTATAAGAACACATGAGATGGTTATAAGAAGATCAAATCAAAGTAGCCGCTCATTTATCAACAATATCGTTGAAACAAGTGATCGGATATAAGCTGATACAGGTTCCTCAACATAGTAAATTTTCACACTGAAGAAAGTACAATTATAGCTCAACAGATAAGATTGCAGGTACCAACTTTGGTCCAGGATCCTGTCTTGACATAGCTCAGGATGACGCCTGAAGTGATTATAGAAGTTTCTGAAAGTACAATTATGACTTTCAGCAACATAACATAGATCTCTCATGAGCTTCATCTATCATAATAACATTACACAATGACAAATAAGACAAGGTTTTACCCAAACGATTTACTCAAGAGACAAAATCATTACCTATACTTTGCCAAGAGACAAGAAGATGTTTCTCCAACATTGTAGGATTTTGCAAGATGTTATGTCTCTCTAGCTAACATTGCAAATATATGAGCAAGTTACTAATTTACAATTCAAATTCGCCTGAAATTAGCAAAGCTAGGTGCTTTGCCCCAAAAATCTCTGTCTTTGCTTCTCTATATTCACATAAACCGTAACTACAATTTCGACCTTAAGTTAATAATCATCTGAGAACAAGAACTCTTACCAGTAGCAATAGAGAGAAGAACTCTTACTCCAAACACACCATCTGTTTTGAAAAAATGACAACCAATTCAGTCTAGAAGAACCTGAGTTTTAAAAGGTCTGAAAGGAAAGAACTCTCAAGATTTTGAGAGGCATACCACGTAACATGTTTCAACAAGACTTAAAACATCGAAATCAACATCAAATACTACGATAGAATTATAACAAAAACATGGGAAAAAAATTAAAAAAAAAAACACAAAAGATCGAATCGAAAAACCCCTATTCGCCTCTACTATTCTCTCCGTTTTGTCGAGAAGAAACGGCTACGCAACAAGCGTTCACGAATTCCAAAGGTATCCTTAAACTCTGGTCTATTCGCCTCCATTACAAGAATGTAAGAGAGTAGTGAACTTGTATCCATCATCTCAACATGGGGAGGACATGGTAGCGATTCCATCCACCGTGGAAGAACGAAATGAAAAAGAGTGAGTGGATATACACAATGGTCCAATGAGTCTGGATCAAAACTCGCATTCATAAGCTGCTCACATGTAGACTGGTTCACAACACATTTTTCAAGGCCATCATCATCAATACGCCTTGTAGATACTTCTTCTTCGCTCAAGATTTTGAAGTTGTGCGTCTGCAAGTTACACGATACCAAATAACGCTTCTGTTGACTCCATAAGTAGACAATATTGCCATCAAACGGATTCATTGCCAAGGGAGCATAATAGAGGATATCATCATCACAAGTTATAAACGGGAGGCGTATCTCCCACAGAAGCTTCCAATCATCATTTTTGGTCAACATCCAAACCTTCAAAAGATTGTGAGCTAGTGTTTTGATATACATGACTGATCCTGCGGATGTAGTCCAGGCTCTTTTGAAGCACCAGTTGTGATCCAGTTCATGATCCGGGAGAGGTATAACCCGACATAGATCGGATTCTTCACCATAGAAATCATGAGCTATAAGCACTCCTGATACAGCAGCAGGATCATCAATATCTTCTGGTGATATAAAAAGCGTCCCGTTGAGAGCCATAGGAAGACCCCAGTTGGTAAAGTAATGAGAGCAATCAAGTCGCTTTTTAGACCAAACGCCTGTCTCAGACGAATACACACAAAGACACAACATAGTCAATGATTCTTGTCTCTTTTGTTTATCTACAGCGATCCTAACCACTTTGAAGCCAAGAACGACGCCGTCGTCGTCCACGCGCGTCACAAGACCAAAGGGAAGAGTTACAAAAGGATATGGAGGGGAAGGGATTCGAACCCACTGTTGTAATACTGGATTGCCCACGAAGGAAGTCTTATATCCATCCATGAAAACCAATCCATTGGAAGAGGCCACGTAGTTGACATGGCCTATTGTTATATGACTCTGAATATAACAAGCTAGAGACTTTGGAAGATCCCATGTCTCGCATCTATGCAAGCTTATGAGGTCACTTGCCTTGGTCCCCACCACTAGTGACCAAGAGGAAGACGAGTTTTTGTGCAGAGACACAAAGAGCCGCCGGAAATAATCTGTTTCTGTTACCGATTTCCATGTTTTGCAAACAGATTTGAATCTCCTGATGCTTCTCAATGGTAACCTCGCTAGTATCTCAATCAGAATCTCCTCGGAAACATGATCATGATGCTTGGTCATTGCTCCATTCTTGTTTGCTCTTCTTATTGGAAGTTTTCTAACTTTCTTTTCTCTTCCGTTCATATTTTTGGGGATCGGTTTCTTGGTTGGAAGCAATAAAAGAAGAAAACCTAAAATAAAGACAAGCAACCAAAGTTTCTTAGCTTTTAATCAGACGGTTGAGATGCTTTCTAATATGATGAGGATTTTTACCTTTTTATATTTTTATTTTATTGATATCTTCCATATCTTTTTCTTTCGTTGTGGATTTCCTTTTTTTCAACAAAATAAATATTCTATTTAAGAAAAAACTACCCTCGATGAGTGATCGGGAAGTTCACTACCCACGATGAATATGATTACCACCAATCAACATACTTAACAAATTATATTATGGGTAAATTGCATGTTTTGGCATAAGACCAAGTTTTAATTTCATGTTTTGGCAAAGTGAGAATTGACTTTCAAGTTTTGACAATTTAGCCAAAATCTGACCATTTTACCCCTGCCAGCGTACCGATGTACTGTTCACTGTACGGTTCAGTTATGCGGTTCAGTTATGTACACTGTTCCGGTTTAGTTATGCAGTTCAGTTATGCGATGTACTGTTCACTGTACGGTTCAGTTACGTACACTGTACACGGTTCAGTTATGCGGTTCAGTTATGCGATTGACTGTTCACAATTTTCTTATAATCTTTTGTTTTTTTACATTTAATTTATTTATTGATTTTGTAAATCTAGTTTATATTAGCGTATTTTGAAGTCGAAAAACTAAAATACAAACTCTATAAATATTACGTACACCGTCTCCACAATAGTACATGATATAACTGAAGTACATATCCATTTTATAATCAATACTGTGTATACCGTAAACTACATACACGTAAATAGAAAAAACTCAAATAAGGACATATTTCTACCAAAAATATCTTACCAATTTCATACAAGTTTTCTACGAACTCAATTAAAAAAATATTAATAATTTGTTTTCAGTAAATAATTGAAATCAACTATGATCAACACACAAATTGACTCTAATGAGACTCACAAAACTTCAGCTCTGTTACGCAATTTACATAATCATATGTCAAATACGAGAAGCAGTAGAAACAAACCTCACAACTAAAGAAAAACATTGAGGAATAGTATGTTTTAACGTGACACAGAGCCGTGTGTGGTTTGAAAATCTTAAACACTTGTCAGTAGATGATTCGCTTTTCCATTTTATAAATATTTATTGTTTTTATATTTTTAGTTAAAATTCTTTTTTTTTTATCAGACCCATTTTCATATTTTTATTTCTATTTTAAATAATATTTTATTTATTATTATCGAAGACTATTCACGATTAGCAATATCATATACACATATGTGCGTAACGGTAATAATATATACGTACACGGTAATAATGTGTACGTACACGGTAGTAATGTGTGTGTATATATGTACGTAAATATCTAAATAATTTGTATATTTACGTTTCAAATATTTTTTGACTATAAAAACAAAACATTCAAATCATGTATGAACAACATATGAAAAAAAATACAGTCATACAAATAACTGACAAACCTGTACACATTTTTCAAATATCCCACAACATTATGTTTTGAGTATAAGATGCGTAGATTATTAACTTATTGTTGTTGTCACTTTTTGAAAAAGAGACAGAAAAGACTTATTTCGAATCAGTGCACACGATGTAGACAAGCAGGCCATAACAAGAAGACTTGCAAAAATCCTATTTAGTTCTCCTCAAAAGTTTTATGTCGCCGAGAAGACAGTGTACGTTTATGTGTGGACCGTGTGTACCAAAGTGTTTTGACGGTGTACGTATGTTTAATGTTTGCAATCGTATAACTATGTACGTTTTTGTTAGTGTACGTTTTTGTTATGTCTGTGTACGTATAATCTTCATGTAAAAAACGTTTACAAACGGTTACACACATTTGTATCTCAACCGTTGGAACACTTTCGCACTATCCACTGCGTCCGTTACGGAATTTCCTTATTTAAGCCACATCTCCTCCTCAATTTTATCCACGTTCCTTCAAACGAAAACCCTTTCACATTCGGCAGTTACATCAATCATACACAAAGTCTTTCGATTGTTCTTGCTAACCGTGTGATGGACGGGTATCATACCATCTCCGAATTGTGTCCTCAGATCATTGGGTGGACAATTTGTGTATTTGTCGTGAGAGTGTTTAAGAAGTTTGTTGCGCCCAACGTCTTCGAACTCGGCCTTATCTTGGCAGATTATTCGGTAGTTTCCCTATGCCATGTTTGTGTTTTTTTATCATACATCAGGTTCAATTGTATATAAATCAGTATTTAATGCCTAAAAAGTTTAGACAAGACTCTTGTCACATTTAATGCAAAACTCATCATTACTTGTTGTAATATTAGTTTATACGTGTGAATATAATTGTAAGAGCTAAGCATGAACCATCAAACAAACAAATTAGTCTGAACGAATGTGATGCTGGAGAAGTTTTGATCTTGTTGATTTACAAAGTTTGGAGCCAAGACAAGCATTGATCGTGTAAGTAATGAATTTGGTTAAGAAGTTTTTTTTGTTATAACACACTACAAAAAAGACAGAAAGACTCTTTCCGAATCAGTGTACAAGATGTAGAGAAGCAGGTCATAACAAGAAGACTTGCAAAAATCCTATTTAGTTTTATGTCCTTGTTTTTTTGTCACTGTGTAGATAGTGTACGTTTATGTCTGGACCATGTGTACCACATTTTTTGTCGGTGTACGTACGTTTAATGTTTGCCATCATATAACTATGTACGTTTCTGATATGTCTGTGTACATAAAATAATTCGATATTTTTGTGAGAATTGCCCCTCCCTAGGTACAATACTTCTCTTTTCCTGGGCTCTCCAGGCTGCGTCTATGACCGATGTATAATTCATTTTTCTTTCCTTTCCCAGACGAACCATGAATACTTCATAAATTAAAAACCCTATTCTAGGAGTAGAAAACGTAATTATATAAATCCATCCCCAAAACGCATTATAATTCCATAAGAACCGTATATTAATAACATATTTTTGTTTCCACATTAAAACCCAAGATTCCAAAATAATGTAGAACCGATAAACTGTGAACATAAACAAATTTGTCTCCAAACTCGAGACCCACATTGTATCCAAGAATTTGTCTTGCCCTGCAGTCACCTTCCTTGCATCTAATAAATCAGATTTGTTTCCAGCAAGGGCCATGACCATATTAGGGTTATCTATAATATATTATTTATTTAGTAAAACCAACAAACAGAGACTAAAGCTAGACAGTGCCTGCAACTGTTAGTCATAAACTAACAAAGAAAAATCAAAGCCATAACTTAGCTATACAATACCTTGTGCCTGCAGTTCCTGAACCCATTTCTTTGCCCTCTCAAACGAGGCCTAAGAAGATAGCAAAAGATTCAAATAAACATAATTTAGTAGAACGCCACTGAATTGCATCTACTGATCAATAGAGAGCATGGAGTTTTATCATTTTGTACCTGATTCGTAACATCAAAGACAATGATTGCAGCAGCAGCACCTCTGTAGTACATTGGAGCCAAACTATGGTACCGTTCCTGACCCGCTGTATCCCAAATCTCAAACTTGACAGTTGCATCGTTGACAGCTAACGTTTGTGAGAAAAAAGCAGCACCAATGGTTGATTCCTATAACATAAACAAATATCAAAGTCAAGAAGCACACAAAGAATGTGAAAACAACAAGATGATCATTATAACAGAAGAGCCATTAACCTGGAATTCAACAAACTGATCTTTGACAAAACGTAACACAAGACTTGATTTTCCAGCTCCAACATCTCCAAGTAACACCTGAAGACTTAACCAAGTAGTACACAGAAACAAATCAAAATAAGTAAAAAAACAATCAAGAATGTTTGCAAGCATCTTCATATCTATAATCCTGGTTCGAGATAAATCACTAAAACCCTATTACGAAAACACCTAAATAAAAATCCAACATAAACCCTAACAACAAAATCCGATCAAAATTCTCCAAATTAGAAACAGAATCACATCCGGAAACTGAAAATCTAACAAAAGGGTCTGCAAATTCAATCAATTTCACAATCATCGGAGAGAAAACAAAAAAAAATTCAAAGGGAGCTCAAAAGAATCGAGCTAATAAGACTGACCAAATTGGCGTTAATGCTCTTGTTTCCAGCTGCAGCCATGGATTTATCGATCTGAAGAGAATCGGATCCCGATAATCTTCAGCTCAAAACTGAGATTGTTGAAGATCAAAAGAAGACGGAAACAAATTGGCAAAAATATTTAGATAGCGGAAACCCTAAAATCGCCTCCATCGCCTTTCTCTCTTTCTCTCTCTCGTTCTTCTTCTTCGTTTCTGCGCAAGATTTTTTTTTTTTTTTTTTTTAATTCAAAACCAAACCATAAAACAAAGAAAAAGTAACTAAACCGAAAACCAACTGTGCCATTTAGTTTAAGTCATTAGGGGTATTTTCGTCAGATTTTGGCTTAATTGTCAAAACGTGAGAACCAAATCTCACTTTGCCAAACACTGAGAGAAAATTTTTTTTTCAGCAGAAACGTGAAATTTTCTTTTATATTATATAGTCACATATGAATATTACTATTAAGTGGGAACAACTAAACCAATACAATTCCTAAGTGCATAATTTATCAATTACTCATTTATTCCTTGAATATTATATGAAATATTTCGAATACAAATTACTAAATAAAACTTAATACAAGTATGAGCATGACGTTGGACAAACACCTAGTACGTAATACAAGTAGTAATAGTTACCGTAGAAGCCAAGCAAGCATAATAATCACATCTTCTTAGTGACTGTGACTTTAAGACCATGTTTCATACGGAGAAGGATAGAAGGAATTGCTTCGATCTTGTGACCTTCAATGACCTTAAAGTCATAGTTTTTTATGATCTCCAGAGCTACTATCTTCATCTGCAAGAGAGCTAGATGTTTACCCAAGCAAGTTCTCGGACCAGAATTAAACGCCACGTACTTGTATGAAGGTTCATGTCTTAGACCTCCATTGTCTGAAATCCATCTCTCTGGTTTGAAATCCGATGCATCTTCTCCCCATACAGATCTCATCCTCCCCAAGGCGTAAATACAAATCACGATCTTTGATTCTGGTTCAACTTTGTGCCCGCTTGGAAGCACATCTGGCTTTGCAGGAGCCTTGTGGTTGAAGGGAAGTGGCGGGTAGAGTCTCATTGATTCGGACAATGCAGCATGCAGATACACGAGCTTCTCTAGATCTTCAGGATCATACTTTGTGTTGATCTCATGTCTGATCTTGGCCATAACTTGAGGATTCTTAGAAAGAAGCCAAAAGAACCAAGTGAGAGCTGAGCTTGTGGTGTCCCTTCCTGCTAACACTAGACTAAAAATAACATCTCTTATAAACGTATCATTTTTCGGTTTCAAGAGCTTATATTTGGTCGTGTCCACATTCATATAATACGTCAACGCGTCCTTGGATGGCTCGGTTTCCCCACGACTTATCTCCTCTTTTCTTCTTGAAGATATGATCTTTGCAAACATACGATTGACCGTGGCCAAAGCTGTTCTCATCTTCCTCTCAAGTCCAATACCAAGCCAGTTTTGAAGCCTCCACAACATCACCGGTTTGAAATGTCTATAGTAGATTGCTTCTTCGCCAATATCCGCAGCTTCACCGAACTCAACTTCCAGCATTTCGATGGATAGTGACATTGGATCATAACCAGTCATCAAAATTGAAGAAGTATCAAACATGAATCTCATGAACACATCTTGTAAATCTATGATAATGTTTTCATGAGCAGCATTATCAAGAAAAGGAACAAGACCTTCCTTTAACTTACTTTTGTTGCTACTTAGTGAGAGCTCGAGGAAATCTTGATTGTGAAACATGGCGTGATTTGACTTCCTCAGATCCTCCCACAACTCCAGATCAACGGTTAAGATTCCCTCTCCCAAAACATCAAAGATTTTCTTGAACTCAGGTCCTTTAGGGTAATTCCCAAAGTTTGAGCTTAGTATGTGATTGATATTCTTTGGATCCGCGGTGAACAACATGTCCGTTCCACTAAGCCATGGCCCTTTGAAATAAAAGGTTAGATTGCTCGCCTCAAGCACCTCGACAGTCCAGTCGTAAATACGAGGGATTTGGGGGAGCATTCCTGGAAGCATCCCGAGGAACGGCCAGTTCTTGAGAATAGGCTGACCGTGAGGTTTCTTGTGGATGAAGAAACAAGTAAAAAGAAATACAAGAGAAAAAAGGAATGCTACGAAGAGTTCAAGTAAACCTAGCATCGCCATTTTTAGACAAAGTATTTACGAGTATAGATAGATACAAAACTCTTAGTTAATTTGGTATGCTATTATATAGCCTAGACTCAATTGAATGCACAACGTTGGTTGGCAAAAATGTTGTTGGCTGCCTGGTCCCATCCGATCTTAAACGGTTTGGGAACGGCATGAATATGGACATGATAGGAATCAAACTCATTTACTATTTTGTCTTGTATGTACTGCTTAGCTTAATACCACATGATCTAGTCGGTTATGTATAATGCTCTAAACTTAGAAACCTAACGAAACTAAACCCTCGACCCTAAACCCGAGCTAGGCACATGATGTTCCATAGAGGCTGGACGATTGTAGAAAGGAACAAGTTGTTGCTTATCGCGTTTTCAGACCAGGATTTAGGCTTTGTAATGGGGGATGGATTCGAATATCTTTGCACCAATTGAATTGTTAGACATCCAAGACAGATTCTTTGGACTTAATTATAAAGCTTGATAACCATTGGCCAACTTTCTCTACGTAGCTATATGCTTTAATTAGTATTAATTATTAAGAATCAGATTTTCAAACTTATGACTGTAATAATGTAACTGAAAGGATATACATGTGTATATATATAACGAAAACTAAATAATACTCCACATTTAAATTTGATTCGAAAATCACATAATCAATATGATTAATTATTACAAATTGGTGAAAACTTAATACTAGCAAATGATGAAAATAAGAAAAAATAAAAAGAAAACATTGTTCAAGACTTGACAAATAAAAAAGATCAAACCGATGACAGAAAAGATCTTGAGAATTGCTTCTCCATGATTTGTTGTAGTTGGGTGAGCGTCTGACGACGGGTCTGCTCATTTTATTTCTCTAATTTCTTAAACCGAGCATCTTTTTCTTTGACTATTTCATTTAATTTGTCGATTTTTTGAACGACCGCCAAATCCAAAAAAATAATCAGAAGAAAGAGTTCTTTCATGGTCATGAAGTCTACCTAATTAACCCCAAATAACGACCTCCTAAGGAATGATAAACAATATTGGTAATAATTATATAAAATAACACTTATAACTTCAGTGACCATTTGTTGGAAGATATTGTCAAGCCATCCTGAGAGAAGAGTTGCATCAACCGTCTACCTTCTTAGAGTCTCGATAATGTCATGTATCCCCGGACGCTGAATTTGACTGGTCTTTTTTGTTGGATCGATCATGCATATTTATACTGCCATATTTTATTTTGTTTTAATCATTTCAACCGTTTATAAAAAACTATTGTTATCTTATCATTTGTGAAAAATATGTAAATAGATTTATTTATACATTGATTGTGGACTGGTTTCTAGTTAGTAGTTACTTGGTATATTTAAATCTACAAATATAAATGTTGTTTTTCCCTACATTACATTTTGGTAGTACTAGTACGACCTCATTTTAGCCTTTTATTATCATCATTATTTAATTTATTTTGCAAAATTAATTTGTTTTCTTATCATGTTAGTACAGAGTACAGACAACATTTTGGCTTTTATTATGCCCATCAATGCCAAAAGTGATCTATTTTCCTAGAGTCGTATTATTTTTTACTAGAGTCGTTTTTGTGTAAACATGCATGCATTTTCTTACAGTCATGCATGTAAGTTCTTTACATTTTTTATACGTGGTTGTTCGAATTTTAAACCCGAATGGATATCTGCAGCCTGCAGTTACATGCTCGGCTCAAATAAAATTTTGTCCATATGCTGAGTTCATTCTTTTTTCAAACCTTATACTTATAACAATAAAATAAAAATCAGAACTTTAATTAGCTAAAGAGAAATTATAATTAAGAACAAATTGGGCACTGTGGGACACCCATAAAACCTAGCATGTGGAGGAGATACACTACTGTTTAAAATGTCCTGTTTCTGATTTAGATGTTAGGTTTCCAAAATTTTTAACAGTCATCGACTTAGATTGAACAAAAATTCGGTGGCTGCAACAGAGCCCAATATGAAGGAAAAACATGAAACTGAAATCAACTTAAACAACCAAACACCATTAGAGTCATGTACTGTGACATCATAAAAATTGACTTAAACGCAAACCACCATTGATAGCATCCAACGGTAACCGATGATTTATACCAAACCGTGATCCTTTAAGAGATACTTACCGAGTTACCGTGACCTTAGAAGCCGTGAACTGGCCAAAACTATGGTAACATATTTTTCATGTATTGATGTAAAATTTACATTGCCAATGTCGTATTCCTTAGTTTCATAATCCGGAAACACATAACTTCAACAAATTCCTTAAACTTTTCCTTCGATACGTTGAAATTGGTAAAACCGTGACTTTGAAACGTCTAGATAGAAGCCATTCGAATAGATCAGATCTTGAACAGATCAATTTTGTAGAAACTAGAGGATCCTAAGAACATCTCAAGATTCATTCTTAGCCATTGGATCAGGTGGATTCAATCTTGCTCACTCATACACGAAGACTTTCCATATCAAGACCCGAGAATCTTCAATGCACTCCAACAGCTAGTTTCCTTTGAACTAAAGAAGACCACGACTTCTAGAAACTTCTACACTGACCAGAACTTTCCATACATAGATATAATCTCACGTTATAAGTTTTCTATAACCAGTCTTAGGCGTCAACAATGTCCCAACGGCCATATCCATCAAAGGCGCCTGATCAATCAAGTTGGTATCTTGCTTTCAATTAGTTTATTTTATTCCCTTTTATTCTTTTTAGACCGTTAAGTCTTGTCTAGAGTCGAGCCTATAAAGCTCAAGTCATTTGTATCATTTTATGCACGCAATTTTCAAGTAATAAAAGGTCAGTTTGTTTGCTTTCAAAGTTAGAGTCTTTGAGCAAAAGTTAAGACTCTTAACTTAAGAGTCTTTGACAAAATAAAACCATCACAGAGAAGGACAGACGCAGTGCGCAACATGTCGTCTTACTACATACGTCGTCGTTTTGTGTTGTCTTTGTTTGAATTTTTTATAGTTGACTAAATTCGGTAAGCCATTGCATACTTTATCAAATTTACAAGTTGTATTTTTAATAATGTTTAGCTAGTTGGAATAATGTAGTTATTAGTCTTATAGATCACGCAATTTTCTAGTAGCCTTTCGTATACGACAAAAGGTGTATGGAGATTAATAATGGCTCTATCAGTTAAAAATATACTGGAAATTTATTCGAGCTATCTTTCATATCTTTAAATTTACGTGCTAAGCAAATTCAGTGGATTTTTTTTTTTTTTTTAATTAATTTTGTTTTATAACAGCTAGATAGAAATATTTTCAAGTGTGAGATTTCTGTTTTCAATGGGAAGGCCTGATGTGCACTTGGATCGACGAGTAGCAGAAAAACATCCGGCAATACCAAGAAACAATGTCATATCCACACCATCTCTGGATTTGTCCACTCTCTTCGACGAAACCAGTAAAACTATGCCGATGGATCCAAAGACGATGGCTGCAGTAAGAGCAGGTAAGGATAATTACCTGAGAAATAATAACAGTTACATTAGGGTTGCTCCAACCTTTGTGAATGACCGTGGAAATACAATACTCCATCTTGCTGCTTCATCGGGTCACGCAAGCATAGTGCGTTATATAATCACAAAATGCCCAGGTTTGCTAATGAAGTCAAATCTGATGGGTGAAGTTGCTCTCCAGGTGGCAGCAGGAGCAGGCCATCTAGATGTTGTATGGAATCTAATTGATTTCATAAATGATATATCTTGTACTGACCTAGGTGTTGCAAAAAGGATATATTTTGCTAAGAACAAAAACCAAGACACTGCTTTGCATGTTGCTTTGAAAGGGAAACATCTGGTGGTGGCTTCCTATTTGGTCTCAGCAGAGAAATCTTTGTCTTTTATTGCGAACAGCGATGGGCTTTCTCCCTTGTATCTTGCTGTTGAAGCTGGACAGGCAGATCTTGTGACAACAATGTGTCACCAAACAAATGAGTTAAGTTCAAAGGTTGGAGGAAGATCCATAGTACATGCAGCATTGAAGGCTAAAAGGAAAGGTTTGTTGTTAATTCTACTAAACATATCTACACCTATAACTATAAGTTTCTTGTTAATGCTACTTTTAATCCAAAAATAACTTCTTAAATAGATATCCTTGCTGCTATACTTAGCAAAGATGCAAGTCTTATAAACTTGAGAGATGAAGGAAGGACTTCTCTTTCTTTTGGAGCATCCATAGGATATTATCAAGGGTTTTGCTATCTTTTGGACAAAGATCCACACAAGGTTTATGTCAGCGATGATGATGGCTTATTTCCAATTCATATGGCAGCCAAGTATGGTCATGTTCAAATTCTTGAGGAAATTCTTAAGCGTTGTCCAGAGGCACTTGAGTTGCTTGACGTAGATGGTCAAAATATTCTTCATGTTGCGGCTAAGTATGGGAAACTCGAAGTCATCAAGTTTATCCTAAGATGTTGTAAGGATAAGAACAAGAAAAGGTTGATTAATGAACAAGATGTGAATGGAAACACACCGTTGCATCTAGCCACCACAAACTGGCACCCTAAAGTTGTGAGTATGTTTACTTGGGACCACAGAGTTGACCTGAAAAAAACAAACTACAATGGTCTCACAGCTTTAGATGTTGCTGAGGAGAACATTGATTCGAGCTACATATTTCATCAGGTAATGTGACAAGATGTCTCCCCCTATGATGGCTTGTCTCAAAGTATTTTAAGGTTATAGATAGCAAAACATTTTAATCAATTTGAATACTCTAGTTGCAAATGCTAAAAGTCGGTTTTGCTCCTAATATTACTATGTATAAATTTTCCATACTAATTCTTGTATGTGTATACTTGATAGTTGACTTGGATGGCTTTGATCAATGCTGGTGCACCAAAAAGTTCCATTCCAATTACAGAAAATCTTAGATCATTCAAGAAGCCAGATGGTGGAAAATACAAAGATCGAGTCAATACTCTTCTGTTGGTTGCAACTCTTGTAGCCACCATGACTTTCACTGCAGGATTCACATTACCTGGTGGTTACAACGACTCTTTTCCCCACTTGGGAATGGCCGTTTTGGCCAAGAGAACCGCTTTTCAAGTCTTTCTTGTATGCGACACATTGGCATTGTACTCTTCTATCATTACAATAGTTGCTCTCATTTGGGCACAACTCGGTGATCTTTCTATCATACTCAAAGCCTTCAGCATAGCACTTCCATTTCTAGGACTTGCTCTTACATCAATGTCAATAGCATTTATGGCTGGCACGTATGCTGCGGTAAGCCATCTCCCCTTGCTTGGTTATTTCGTTTTAGGTATCGGTATCATCTTCCTACTGGTTTTTTTGCTGCTCCTTGTTCCTTATGTGTCTCCATATGCTCATTCCCAACCCCTTCTTCGACACATTTTCTACTATCCCTATTTCCTTAAGCTTTTGGCTGCTGGTGACAACAAAAATCTTGTTGGTGTGTACACTGCATCAGATGAATGAAGAAACGTTATAGCTTCTATTTTTCTAATAAAATTGTAACCTTGTATATTTTATTCTGGATGTTACCGTGTTAACCGATAAATACCCATAATTCAGGACTTAAGGTTACAGACGCTTCAAAGTTTAAATCATAACGGTTGCTACAAGAGCTGCCACAACTATAAGAGCATTGATGTATTCTTTGTTTCCGGAATGGTCCCAATGGCACCAATGGTCTTGTAAGCTTCATGGTTTTGATGAGTCTAACATTTCTTTGGACGTGGTCATGTACTAAGACCATAAGTGTCAATCTGTGTAATCCAACCAAGGGTAAATAATTATAATCTATCTGTGAATCGTGAAAAGGTAATGTTATGGTGGGAAATTATATATACCTCTCGAAAGATGTAATGAGGTTGGAGATTTAGTTCGGCAATATAGGGCGCCATGTTATTGACTTATTGTCAAGCCACTATGGTTCTGTATGAACAGGTTTTTTCTTGCCCCGTAAGACAACAAGCATCTCTAGGGCGCAACGTTATGGTAGCTAGATGCAGTCATGCAGAGATGTATTCCCATCTACATCTTGCTCGTTAGCTAGATGGTCTGTTTGTTCATGTGTCGTCAATTGGCTTAGAATTCAATCTCCCATTATTAGCTGCAATGTGAAGAATGTTCTGCCTTTTTTGTTAACCAAGTGCTTTGAATATGGACAACGTTTTATAATAATCTCTTTGAAAAGTTCAATGACCTTTCTCTACTTCCATGTGGATTGGATATGAGGATCCATCATCGTCACATACAAAAATACCATCCGTCAACCGGTCTAACATGTTGCTTATTCCTTCATAATTTCCAATGGATGCTCCAAAGGAAAGAAAAGTCCTTCCTTCTTCATCTCGTTCATCCACAACGCTTGGATATTGTTTAAGAATAACATCAAGAATATCTGCTCAAACAAGTGGGAGTATGACAAGTCTTTTAGTCTAGCGCAAGAGCATTGTAACAAGTGCAGGAGCATTGTACTTGTGTTGACAGCTCATCAACTAATGTGGGAAAATAGATCTTAAAAGAACAAGAAAAAAAATTCAATTGTAAATCAACTTAAATTTTTGAAAAATTAATTTATGAGTGAATGTTATGAGAGTTTACATGGAAAAACTATAAACTTTTATTTGATTTATTTTAAAAAAATATTGAAAACAAAGAGTAAAAAATAAAGAATGGGCTGTAAAAACTTTTAAAAAATTTTAAGTAAAAAAAGCTTGATTAAAAAAAAAAGACTGTAGAAACTTTTTAAAACTTTTTAAAGCTTAAAAAGTCTGTATCAATCACACCCAAAGTTTCCACAGCCAAAAATAACAGTCGTTACCGATCGGTCCCAAAATATATATATATATATATAATATATATATTAATTTAATATAAAGAATTAAAAATATTATAATTATATAAAAATAAGAAAAATTATTAATAAAAGTTAAATAATAATATAAAATATCTCGGATCCGGATATCCGGTTTTAATTTTTTCTATTATCTGGATCTGGATCCGGTTTGGATAGAAAGATATAATGTAGAAAATTTAAACATTTTAATGGTTCATAATTTTTTGGGAGACTCACAAAAATGTCCCTTTTTCAATATCCTTTTTCAAAAATGTCCCCTTTGGCTGTCCATTTTTAAAAATACCCCTTTTTATGTACAAAATGACTAAATTATCCTTCTTTTAATAAAAGATATCACAAATATATAAGGAAAACATGAGAATGTTCACACATCAAAATTACAAATTTGATTTTGTAAAAACTTGTAAAACTTTTAAAATACCTTGTAAAATTTTTTCCGTAAAAATTTTTCCCGCCAAAAATTGTTTTTGCGGGAAAAGTGATTCCGCAATTTTTTTGGCGTTAAATTTTTGGAGGAAAAAATTTACAAGGTATTTTAAAGGTTTTTTACAGGATATTTATAAGGTTTTACAATGTATTTTAAAAGGTTTTACAACGTATTTATAAGGTATTTATAAGATATTATAAGATTTTACAAGCTAGTTTATAAAGTTTTACAAGTTATAAGGTTTTACAAGTTTTTTATAAGGTTTTACAAGTTATAAATACCTTATAAAACCTTATAAGTACCTTGTAAAACCTTTTAAAATACATTGTAAAACCATACAAAACACTTGTAAATACTCTGTAAAACCTTTAAAATACCCTGTAAATTTTTCCCGCCAAAACAATTTCACCAAAAAAATTGCGGAATCACTTTTCCCGAAAAAAAAAATTTTGGCGGTAAAATTGCGGGATCACGTTTCCCGCCAAAAATTTGCGGGATCACTTTTCCCGCCAAAAAAATATTTTGTATTTTGTGGACCTAATTTTGTTTCAAATAAGGGTAAAATGGTTATTAAAAATTAAAAGAGGGCAAACTTAAAAATAGACTTTCAAAGGGGGCATTTTTGAAAAGGTGTATTGAAAAAGGGGCATTTTTAACAATTTCTCTAATTTCTTTTGTTGGTTCTTGCAATGACAACAAATATGCTAATAATTACAAAATAACCATTATTTGGATTTCTCTCATAAGTTATACTAGATCAGTAGGGTTAAATTTTATTTATTAAAAAATTTATATATTATATATTTTAGAATAAAGTTGTTATATATTATAATTAGTAATTGAAAAATATAATTAGATTTTTGTCAGTTCCTATATATAATATTAGAATGAATATATTTTCTTTTTTTAATTATACTCAATTATGAATATATATTTTTAAGATATGAAAACGGAAAATAAAATTATTTGAATAAATTAATATGGTCTGAACAATGAGTTAATTTATATTAACAACCACAAAATGAGATTGCATATAATTCAGTTAGATCAAAAATCAAAATATTATAAATGAATCGCTTATAAAACGTAGATTATTTTTAATTAATTAAGAAAGTTAGCTATTATTTTAAATTAATTTAGGAAATTCTTTTTTCAATTTCTAATTTTTTGGTTGTTGAAATAGAGATTTGTTTGAGATACCTACGGAATTTACCAATTATTCGCGTATTCGAATATGTTATGAACATATATTTAGTATATAATATACAAATTCAACCCGTGCATGGAGTCTACATTTTTATTTTAGAATCCTAATGAAAATATTGTGTGTACAATCTATTATTCGTTATTTCCAAAATTGCTTTCACAATCAAATTTTCAAATATTTTGTGGTGTCAACCTTATTTAATCTATCTGATCATATAATCTTAACATGCCATCTATTATAAGGATCATAATTTTATATTATATAATATATTTCATTTAACCCTCCGCCTACTATAACTATTTTAAATATATCTTTTTAGAAAATCAAATTAAAGTATTTATAATTTTTTTTATCTTTTTAATCTATTAAATATTTATGATATTCATTAAAATATTAAATTAAACTATTTTAAAATGTTCCAAATTAAAATCTTTAAAAATATTTCTTGTAGTATATAAAATTATGAACTTCAAAAAAGAATTATATGAAATTAAATAGAAATATTCAAACAGTTATAAGGATCATAATTCATTTGTTAATATAATATATTATATTTAACCCACGACCTATTATAAATATTTGTTTTAAAAAAATCAAATTAGAGTATTTATTGATGATATTCTTTAAATATTGATGATATTCTTGAAAAATATCAAGTAAAACTAATTTTATATATTGCAAATTAAAATATTTAAAAATCTTATTGCAGTATATAAAATAATACATTTCAAAAAATAAATGTATGAAATTGAATATAAATATTCAAATTGTGAATTTTTGACCCGTTAAATTTTTTTCTTCGTAGATTTAATAATTTATATTCGTTTTTTAAAATTCAAATCTTGGCATATGCAGACAAATTTTACTTTTTTTTTTGTTATATGAATGATATGATGATTTATTTGTTTCATAAAAATAGAATCATATAAAGATGAGAGGTGATGTATAATGATTAATAACAAATTAATATGGTAAGTTAGATATCAAATCTTATATGTTCATTTTGATTGGTCATTCTTTTTTTAAAATTAATAATATATTTTCGTTTTTAATAATTAAAATAATTAAATTTCATAAATTAGTATTTGACTTGTTTATCTTTAATGAGCCGAATTAATTTACTCTTTATATTTTTATCTCTAATGGCATTTTATTGTAACAAATGGGAAAGTTATTAAAGGGTACTTACTTCCCAATAATAGTATAGGATATTCACGTAAACACGTTTTCATCGCTAATTACCTTTTTTTTTTTTTTTTTACATAAAATCGCTAATTACCTAAAACTGCAAAACTCTTTGCGTTTCCTCTTTTCTTCGGGACACAAAAACATTGGAAGCTTCTTCTTCTGCTGCTGCCAGAGAAGAATCGGTCCTCCCTTGCGTACAATCAAACTCCAAGAGACATCGAGAGATGAGAGAGATCTCGATCTCGACGCTTACTCTTTCATGGTCACATCTTCTACTCTTCGCTTCGATTTCTCTCCACTTCGTCTTAGGTTCGTCTTCTTCAGATCTGTGATTTCAATTTCACAAACCTCTCTTTTAGGGTAAAATCATTAGATTTTGTAAGATTTGGTAGTGATTCCGCGAGATTTAGGTCGAATTTTAGCTTGACTTGACTCTTTCTCGATTTCCGAAGAAAAATTTGTTTGATTTTTCTGTTCCTACGGTTTCAAAAGAATCAAAATGTTGAAAACATGAAGATTTGTTGTATTGATAACTAAGACAAGTAATTTAAAGTTAAACATGTCGGATTAGTTAAAATTCAGCAAACAATTTGTGTTTTCTGGGCTTTGGTTATAAAAGTTTGTCTTTTTGATCTCTTGATTACTCTGGTTTAAATGATAAATGATACTTCTAATAATTTGGTACATTGATTTGTGAAAAATTTAACTAGCATTATGATACACTTGTATAAATCACTAGCAATGTTACATGTGGATAGCCTTTTGAGGATAGATTATGTTAGCTTCTTCAGGACTAATGATAATCGTTGTAACGGATTTTACAATTAAGCTGATTAGCCTCCTCTTCTAGGTTTCTTGAAATCCTTAGGAGCTTTGTGTTGATTTTATTGATTATGTTATTTTTTCAGGTATATCTGGTGATTCCAATAGTTCAAGTACTGGAGCAAAGGCTGAATCTCATACTTCTTCCGGCATAACAGGCACGAAAGTGATCCTCGTATTGCTTGGGTTTGGTGCTGTAGCGGGAGTCTCGTTCTCCCTGTACAAACTGTGGCAAAAGAAGAAAAGAGATGAGCAGTATGCTCGGTTATTGAAACTGTTTGAGGAAGATGATGAACTGGAGGTTGAATTAGGCCTTCGTGATTAAGAAAAAAGCAAAATCTGTAACAATGTCTGAGGTATGTTTTCATTTGTTTCTTCTTTTTGTTACTTATTAGTTGAATCGTTGTGATAATATCGATAAGTAGTATGAGCAGTATTGCAAGAATTGTTAGTATACATTAAAATTTTAGACCACTAAAAGATGTCATAGATAGAGGAATTAGTGACTTGAGTGATGCAAAGCTGACTGATGGGTTACATGGTATATGTTTATGCTTTGAACCTTCTATTATTAATCTCAAGTTAGAGTTTATAAGAAATGATTAACTCTTCGGTTTGAGTTCTCAAGGTTCTAGACAATAGTTGTGTTTACTAAAACGATTCAAGATCACCGAAGTCAACCGTTTGATACAATGATAATGAGATATACTGTTTGGCATTTGGCAGGTGTATCAGATCATACAGGCATTGGAAATATTGAAGTATATATATACTTAAAATGATGTAATTGTGATTGATCATTTTGAATTCTCTGGCTGATATCGCCGTTGGAGGCTCTAGAGAAATTGTTCTTCTTTAGCATTAGGTCAATTCTTGTAAAACAATTAAATTTCTCAACTTCTTCCATGATCTTTGATTTGCCATTTTTACAATTTAGATATTTGTCTCGGATCAACCAAGAATCATACATATATGATATATCTAATCGGAGAAAGCCATATGCAATCATATATTTTTGACGACATTGGAAACCTTCATAAATCAGTCGAAAATGCGACCGCTGGAATTCAGTAAGGGATTTCCGACAGAATTATTTTAGTGATGGTCTAAAACCAACTGTTTAACTCTGTCGGTTATGTCACTTTTCGACGGAATTCCGATAGTTTTTCCTGTCTGTTACGACTTATGAGGTGTTTTCTTGTAGTGTATATATGTATGATGGTACATTTTGAAATCAAGAATCGTCGCATACTGAAGTCTAGAAGGATATAAACCAGTTTGCAGAGATCAATTGACATGCAAAATGCCAATTGGATGGTGTTCTTAAAAGGCATCGAAGCATGGGGTTACTAGTAGGAGGAGCAAAGTATTAGAAAATAATTATGTCGTTTATGGGCCTGGGTTAGTAGATGGACCCATCTTAAATTAGCCCATTAAAGACAGATTTTATCCAACAAAACAAAAAAGAGTAAAGCTAGTGTGCTGTGTGCATGTAACGTGGCTGCTTTAAGGCCTCTATTGATATGTAAGATACAATAAGCCCGCCAAATCCACACACAGAGACAACACTTTTGCTCCTCTCTCCTCCTATGGCCGCCAATTTCTGCGGCTCGACGCTTCAGTCTCCGTTTCTCTGTAACTTTAGACGACCAACGATCAGATCTTCTTCCTTCATACGGTCTTCTTCATCAACCTCTTCCAATGGCAATCTTCCCATCAAAGAATCTTTCTCTGGTTCAATCTCCCTCTTACTTCATACAATTGTCTTGTTTCTTGAAATGTGTGTAGAAAGCAGCAAACTAAAAGTAGGTCTTTATTGTAATATTTGCTAAGTTATTGTATGGTTGTGTGTGTTTTAGGAGAGCCTGAAGCAGATGTTGTGGTTATTGGAAGTGGGATAGGAGGATTATGTTGTGGTGCATTGTTAGCTAGATATGATCAGGATGTGATTGTTTTGGAGAGCCATGACCATCCCGGTGGCGCGGCTCATTCATTTGAGATCAAAGGGTACAAGTTTGATTCAGGTCCTTCTCTGTTTTCTGGTTTACAATCACGAGGTCCTCAAGCAAATCCACTTGCTCAAGTAAAATGTTTCTCTTCCTTAATCTCTGTTTTTTTTTTTTTTTTCTCTATAGTATTCCATAGGTGCGGTTTTACGGCTTCTGGACTAGGATTAAGTTGATCAGAGTCTTTGTTCTTATGAATTTTGGGTGATTGTGTTTTTTTCAGGTTCTTGATGCTTTAGGGGAATCACTTCCATGTAACAAATATGATTCTTGGATGGTTTACTTACCAGAAGGAGATTTCTTGTCACGGATAGGCCCTACGGATTTCTTTAAGGTATAGAATTTTAGCTTATGTTGCTGAGTTATAGTTAAACATGATAATGAAAATGTAAATGTGGATTTTTTGCGAAGCATACAAAATTCATATGTACAAAAAACTGTTGAGCTACCTTTGTATAGAATCCGACGAAATGAACTTCCTATGTTGCCAGTTAGATGCTTCGTTGAACCAAATTTTGCTTCACTTCACTTTGAAGTGACTTGTATGAGCTGTTGGTATGATACTGTTTATCTGATCTTGTTCGGTGTTGTTTTTTATTCAGGATCTAGAGAAATATGCCGGTCCTAGCGCAGTCCAGGAGTGGGAAAAGCTTCTTGTGGGTGCCTATGTGTGAATATAAATGACATCTACTCGTGAGATCTCATCTGCTAATAACTACAAAACTATGATGAACCTGCAGGGAGCAATACTCCCTCTGTCTACTGCTGCTATGGCGTTACCACCATTGTCTATTCGCGGGGATCTTGGTGTTCTCTCCACGGCTGCTGCTAGGTATATATCAGCGTATCTTCTTCTATGTGTATAGAGTTATAACTTATAGTCATCTATTGCTAGGTGTTTTCCTAAAATGATCTTCTTTTTTTTGCTAGATATGCTCCTTCGCTGATAAAATCTTTTATCAAAATGGGTCCTAAAGGAGCGTTGGGAGCCACAAAGCTTCTCCGCCCGTTCTCGGAGATCGTTGATTCTTTGGAGTTGAAAGATCCGTTTATACGAAACTGGATTGATCTTCTCGCATTCCTTCTCGCAGGGGTCAAATCTGATGGCATACTTTCAGCAGAGATGGTAACCATATATCCTCAACGATGGGAAAAAGAAACAAGATTATCATATTTTTGGTGCACAAGATCAGGTTAAAATGAAGTCTTTGCTTCTTATGTGTGCAGATCTACATGTTTGCGGAATGGTACAAGCCAGGCTGCACATTGGAGTACCCTATTGATGGAAGCGGTGCGGTGGTTGAAGCGCTTGTCCGTGGCTTAGAGAAGTTTGGAGGACGTCTGTCTCTTAATAGTCATGTTGAGAACATTGTCATCGAGGATGGTAAAGCTGCTGGAGTCAAGCTAAAGAATGGTCAAGTATGAAGAGTTCAAGAATTTGCATAAATATCTTCAATATCTCTGTTTTTCTTTGTTCATTTCTTATTTTGATATGGAAATGTTTCAGTTCATTCGAGCTAGAAAATCTGTGGTTAGCAATGCGTCGATGTGGGATACTTTAAAGCTCTTACCTCCAGGAGCTCTCCCAGATTCATACGTAAAAGGTGTGAACACAACGCCTCAATGTGAGTCATTCATGCATCTTCACTTGGGATTCGACGCAGAGGTATGAAAGGAAAATCCATTTTACCTACGTTTCAGTTTTGTGTGTTTGTTATTTTCTTGGTTTTGATATTTTCTTAAGTGGAACTGGAACAGGGAATAGCAGATGACCTTGAGATTCATCATATCGTTGTGAATGACTGGGACCGCGGTGTGGATGCTGACCAGAATGTGGTTCTGATATCAGTCCCTAGTGTTCTTAGCCCAAACCTTGCACCACCGGGAAAACATGTTCTACACGCTTACTGTCCTGGAACCGAACCTTTCAGTCTCTGGGAAGGTCTTGACAGAAGAAGTGCCGAGTACAAGAGTCTCAAATCCCAACGGTCCGAGGTACCTATTCATTTTTTTAAGCTTCAGTTTTCTGAATACGAAAACCAAATCTCAACCAAATTGTACCGGTAACGTTGGTGAAGGTGATGTGGAGAGCGGTGGAACGGGCATTAGGGCCCGGGTTTAAAAGAGAAAAGTGCGAGGTGAGTTTGGTTGGAACACCATTGACGCATCAGAGGTTTCTAAGGAGGAATAGAGGAACATATGGGCCTGCAATAGAGGCTGGTAAAGGTACTTTTCCTGGCCATTCCACACCCATTCCGCAGCTTTTGTGTTGCGGTGACTCGACCTTTCCCGGGATCGGAGTTCCTGCAGTGGCAGCTAGTGGCGCGATTGTGGCGAATTCGCTAGTTCCTGTTTCTAAGCATTCCCAGCTTCTTGATGATATTGGCTTATAGAAAAGATGTGCTCAGCTTTCTTGATGCTATTAATTTTATATAATAAAGTTAATAACTTTCCTCCAAACTCACCCTCTAAAAAGTTGCAAGTTGAACTCTTGCTTTTTTTTTATAACCCAGTGTCCAGACCACACTGTGATCCGACTAGCCTACTGGGCCTAAGCCCGCGTGCCTGGGATTTTTAAGCCTCCACTTAAGGGTCCTCTGGAACTAGTGGTCTGGGACGTTGCGCCCCGCAGGTAAATTGCGCAGTGGCCGGGACTCGAAGCCGGGTGGCGGGTGCCTCAGCCGAGGTTCCTTTACCACCAGGAGACAAGCACCCGGTTTTGAACTCTTGCTTTTGACGTCTTTAAAAAAAAAACTCAAATATATTATTACCTATGAAAATACTGGAACAAACGCACACACCAATGCTACAACAATGGAGTGCAATAACATGGGAGTTTAGTTTAGCCATATTTTTTCTTATACTTGGAATTTACCGACTTATTCTTATTGTATGAAAAAATTGTACTGGAATTTTTTTTATTTGGTATTCTAGATAAGAAGCTATGTAAACTATTATAAGTTAATGAATAACCAACGTAACTAAAATAAAAATTTATAAAATTAACTTAAGAAATTATTTTGAGTTTTTTAACTTCTTGACAAATTAATGAACAACGCACGTTAAAATTTATTTTTTGATCAGTTTTTTTTTTAAAATTTAAATCTAAAATTAATGCAAGTAGTGATATCAAGTTCAACTTAAAAATTAATGGTTAAATTTAAAATTATGTCAAAAATAGAAGCTAAATTATTGGATATGAAGTTCAAATTTTACATATATATAATAAGATTTTAAATAAAATAACTACAAGGTTCAAATATTAAATCGTCTAAATATATTTCATTATGAGTGTTTAAAATCCTTACTCACATTTTGTTTAAAGATGTTAGTCAAATTTAAAATAATATTTTAAACAATAATCTAAAAGACTAATATAAGGCACTTGAGTAATATATTCGAAAGGTAGGGATATGGTCTAGATCCATAACTAATAATTATGCAAAACTTCCATAAAAAACTTAAGATATGATACCTATCAATGGATGTAAAAAAATATTTTACGGATCCCATACTAAGTAAATTTTTTGGAAAAACTAAAAGCTAAATAAAGAAAATCGATTCAAAACATTGAAAAAGGAAGCAATGGATTGAACTTGACATAGTTAAATGGTTGAGTGGACAACATTCTCAATGTTAACCTAGCCTACTTGTGGGTTTGGAGTCTAAGCAACTTTTACCACAACTATTACAAGACTCTAAAAGTAATATTTATGTCCAATTCGTTAAGAAAAATGATTCAATTTACTACATAAACAGATTTCACACACCATTTCGAACTTTCTCTTTAGTTTAGAATTGAAGTTTTGTGTAGATTTTGAAAGAAAAAATAAGTGTTGGTTTGTTTTAGGAGGTTTTGATTTATGGAATTTTGAAATAAAAGTTAAAAGAGCAAATAGAAAAATTGTTTAATTATTATTTTTGCTTGAAATTGACAAAAAACAAATCTTTCTAAAATTAGAGAAAATAGTTGATACCTTGATTGGATTCTACAGTTAGCCGAAAATGAAACCCTAAGCTGAACTAACACTGTTCTTTTGCTATTGTTACTTTTTCATTATCGGATTATTTTATAAATGTTAATTTTTTATTTTCAAAATCGAAAAATAAAAGTTTACTCATCTTAGGAGAAATTGCTTTAGTTTATTTTGTATTAAAATACATACGTAGAAATTAATTTATGGTAACAAAAATGTAACAAATTTGAAAGATCAATATATCCGATTAAAATAATATTTTAAAAACACATATTTTAAGCAGTTTTAGAGATTGAGACACAATGACTCCACACGTCATCCCTCTTCTTCAAGTATTGTGTTTCACGGCCAACTAATGATGGTCTGTCAGCAATATATTTAATGAGATTATCGTGACACACTTTTTCTTCTTGGACAAGATCGTGGCAACAAGACTCAATGAGTACTAGTAATGCAAGTAGTGATATCAAGTTCAACTTACAAATTAATGATTGAATTTAAAATTATGTCAAAGTAGAAGCCAAATTATTAGATATGAAGTTCAAACTTGATATATTTATAAGATTTTAAATTAAATAACTACAAGGTTCAAATATTAAGTCCTCTAAATATATTTCACTATGAGTGTTTGAAAGCCTAATCACATTTAGTTTAATGATGTTAGTCAAATGAATAATTATATTTTGAAAAATTAGTTTAATCTAAAAGATTAATAAATGGCAATTGGGTAATATATTCGAAAGGTAGAGATATGGTCTAGATTCATAACTAATAATTCTGCAAAACTTCCATCAAAAATATAAGATATAAAAACTATCAATGACGCAAAAATATATTTTATGGATCCCATACTAAGTAAAAATGTTTGGAAAAACTAAAAGCTAAATAAAGAGAGTCGATTTAAAACATTGAAAAAGGAAGCAATAGATTGAAATTGACATATTTATGTGGTTGAGTGGACATTATTATCAATGTTAACCTAGCCTACTTGTGGGTTTGGAGTCTAAGCAACTTTTACCATAACTATTACAAGACTCTAAAAGTAATATTTATGTCCAATACTTAAAGAATAATTGTTCAATTTACTACATAAACGGATTCGACACACATCCTTTCGAACTTTTTCTTTAGTTTAGAATTTATGTTTTGTGTAGATTTTGAAAGAAAAAAAAAAGTGTTGGTTTGTTTTTGGAGGTTTTGATTTATAGAATTTTGAAATAAAAGTTAAAAGAGCAAATAGAAAAATTGTTTAATTATTATTTTTGCTTGAAATTGACAAAAAATAAATATTTCCATAACTAGAGAAAGTATTTGATACCTTGATTGGATTCTACTGTTAGCCGAAAATGAAACCCTAAGCTGAACTAACACTGATATTTTGCTATTGTTACTTTTTCATCATCGGATTATTTTATAAATGTTAATTTTTTATTTTCAAAATCGAAAAATAGAAGTTTACTCATCTTACGAGAAATTGCTTTAATTTATTTCGTATTAAAGTACATACGTAGAAATTAATTTATGGTAAGAAAAATGTAACAAGTTTGAAATATCAATATATCCGGTTAAAATAATATTTTAAAAACACATATTTTAAGCAGTTTTAGAGATTGAGACACAATGACTCCACACGTATTGTGTTTCACGGCCAACTAATGATGGTCTGTCAGCAATATATTTAATGAGATTATCGTGACACACTTTTCCTTCTTGGACAAGATCGTGGCAACAAGACTCAATGAGGGTTCCGTTTCCAAAAACAACAGCGATTATATTCAATGCACACTTAGGAGTGATTTTAACCAGACAAGTGTCCCATAATGTTTTTGCTTCAGCTTCTTCTACTGAAAATGCAGGAACAAACGCACACACCAATGCTACAACAATGAATAGCGCAGTAACATGGGAGCTTAGATTAGCCATATTTTTTTCCTATGCTTGGAATTTACCGACTTATTCTTACTGTATGAAAAGAATGTAATGAAGTATATATTTTTATTTGGTATTCTAGACAAGAAGCTATGTAAACTATTTATATGTTATTGAGTATCCAACGTAACTAAAATAAATTACAAAATAAACTTATGAAATTAATGTGAGTTTTTTTAACTTCTTGACAATTAAGTACGTTAAAATTTATATTTTCGATCAGGTTTTTTGAAATTTAAATCCAAAAGTAATGCAAGTAGTGATATCAAGTTCAACTTACAAATTAATGATTGAATTTAAAATTATGTCAAAGTAGAAGCCAAATTATTAGATATGAAGTTCAAACTTGATATATATATATATATATATAAGATTTTAAATTAAATAACTACAAGGTTCAAATATTAAGTCCTCTAAATATATTTCACTATGAGTGTTTGAAAGCCTAACTCACATTTAGTTTAATGATGTTAGTCAAATGAATAATTATATTTTGAAAAATTAGTTTAATCTAAAAGATTAATAAATGGCAATTGGGTAATATATTCGAAAGGTAGGGATATGGTCTAGATTCATAACTAATAATTCTGCAAAACTTCCATCAAAAACATAAGATATAATAACTATCAATGACGCAAAAATATATTTTATGGATCCCATACTAAGTAAAAATGTTTGGAAAAACTAAAAGCTAAATAAAGAGAGTCGATTTAAAACATTGAAAAAGGAAGCAATAGATTGAAATTGACATATTTATGTGGTTGAGTGGACATTATTATCAATGTTAACCTAGCCTACTTGTGGGTTTGGAGTCTAAGCAACTTTTACCATAACTATTACAAGACTCTAAAAGTAATATTTATGTCCAATACTTAAAGAATAATTGTTCAATTTACTACATAAACGGATTCGACACACACCCTTTCGAACTTTTTCTTTAGTTTAGAATTTAAGTTTTGTGTAGATTTTGAAAGAAAAAAAAAAGTGTTGGTTTGTTTTTGGAGGTTTTGATTTATAGAATTTTGAAAGAAAAGTTAAAAGAGCAAATAGAAAAATTGTTTAATTATTATTTTGCTTGAAATTGACAAAAAATAAATATTTCCATAATTAGAGAAAATATTTGATACCTTGATTGGATTCTACTGTTAGCCGAAAATGAAACCCTAAGCTGAACTAACACTGATCTTTTGCTATTGTTACTTTTTCATCATCGGATTATTTTATAAATGTTAATATTTTATTTTCAAAATCGAAAAATAGAAGTTTACTCATCTTACGAGAAATTGCTTTAATTTATTTTGTATTAAAGTACATACGTAGAAATTAATTTATGGTAACAAAAATGTAACAAGTTTGAAATATCAATATATCCGGTTAAAATAATATTTTAAAAACACATATTTTAAGTAGTTTTAGAGATTGAGACACAATGACTCCACACGTCATCCCTCTTCTTCAAGTATTGTGTTTCACGGCCAACTAATGATGGTCTGTCAGCAATATATTTAATGAGATTATCGTGACACACTTTTCCTTCTTGGACAAGATCGTGGCAACAAGACTCAATGAGGGTTCCGTTTCCAAAAACAACAGCGATTATATTCAATGCACACTTAGGAGTGATTTTAACCAGACAAGTGTCCCATAATGTTTTTGCTTCAGCTTCTTCTACTGAAAATGCAGGAACAAACGCACACACCTATGCTACAACAATGAATAGCGCACTAACATGGGAGCTTAGATTAGCCATATTTTTTTCTTATGCTTGGAATTTACCGACTTATTCTTACTGTATGAAAAGAATGTAATGAAGTATATATTTTTATTTGGTATTCTAGACAAGAAGCTATGGAAACTATTTATAGGTTATTGAGTATCCAACGTAACTAAAATCAATTACAAAATAAACTTAAGAACTTCTTGACAATTAAAAACAACATACGTTAAAATTTATATTTTCGATCAGGTTTTTTGAAATTTAAATCCAAAAGTTATGCAAGTAGTGATATCAAGTTCAACTTACAAATTAATGATTGAATTTAAAATTATGTCAAAGTAGAAGCCAAATTATTAGATATGAAGTTCAAACTTGATATATATATATATATATATATATATATATATATATATATATATAAGATTTTAAATTAAATAACTACAAGGTTCAAATATTAAGTCCTCTAAATATATTTCACTATGAGTGTTTGAAAGCCTAACTCACATTTAGTTTAATGATGTTAGTCAAATGAATAATTATATTTTGAAAAATTAGTTTAATCTAAAAGATTAATAAATGGCAATTGGGTAATATATTCGAAAGGTAGGGATATGGTCTAGATTCATAACTAATAATTCTGCAAAACTTCCATCAAAAACATAAGATATAATAACTATCAATGACGCAAAAATATATTTTATGGATCCCATACTAAGTAAAAATGTTTGGAAAAACTAAAAGCTAAATAAAGAGAGTCGATTTAGAACATTGAAAAAGGAAGCAATAGATTGAAATTGACATATTTATGTGGTTGAGTGGACATTATTATCAATGTTAACCTAGCCTACTTGTGGGTTTGGAGTCTAAGCAACTTTTACCATAACTATTATAAGACTCTAAAAGTAATATTTATGTGCAATACTTAAAGAATAATTGTTCAATTTACTACATAAACGGATTCGACACACCCTTTCGAACTTTTTCTTTAGTTTAGAATTTAAGTTTTGTGTAGATTTTGAAAGAAAGAAAAAAAGTGTTGGTTTATAGAATATTGATTTATAGAATTTTGAAATAAAAGTTAAAAGAGCAAATAGAAAAATGGTTTAATTATTATTTTTGCTTGAAATTGACAAAAAATAAATATTTCCATAATTAGAGAAAGTATTTGATACCTTGATTGGATTCTACTGTTAGCCGAAAATGAAACCCTAAGCTGAACTAACACTGATCTTTTGCTATTGTTACTTTTTCATCATCGGATTATTTTATAAATGTTAATATTTTATTTTCAAAATCGAAAAATAGAAGTTTACTCATCTTACGAGAAATTGCTTTAATTTATTTCGTATTAAAGTACATACGTAGAAATTAATTTATGGTAACAAAAATGTAACAAGTTTGAAATATCAATATATCCGGTTAAAATAATATTTTAAAAACACATACTTTAAGCAGTTTTAGAGATTGAGACACAATGACTCCACACGTCATCCCTCTTCTTCAAGTATTGTGTTTCACGGCCAACTAATGATGGTCTGTCAGCAATATATTTAATGAGATTATCGTGACACACTTTTCCTTCTTGGACAAGATCGTGGCAACAAGACTCAATGAGGGTTCCGTTTCCAAAAACAACAGCGATTATATTCAATGCACACTTAGGAGTGATTTTAACCAGACAAGTGTCCCATAATGTTTTTGCTTCAGCTTCTTCTACTGAAAATGCAGGAACAAACGCACACACCTATGCTACAACAATGAATAGCGCACTAACATGGGAGCTTAGATTAGCCATATTTTTTTCTTATGCTTGGAATTTACCGACTTATTCTTACTGTATGAAAAGAATGTAATGAAGTATATATTTTTATTTGGTATTCTAGACAAGAAGCTATGGAAACTATTTATAGGTTATTGAGTATCCAACGTAACTAAAATCAATTACAAAATAAACTTAAGAAATTAATGTAAGTTTTTTAACTTCTTGACAATTAAAAACAACGTACGTTAAAATTTATATTTTCGATCAGGTTTTTTGAAATTTAAATCCAAAAGTAATGCAAGTAGTGATATCAAGTTCAACTTACAAATTAATGATTGAATTTAAAATTATGTCAAAGTAGAAGCCAAATTATTAGATATGAAGTTCAAACTTGATATATATATAAGATTTTAAATTAAATAACTACAAGGTTCAAATATTAAGTCCTCTAAATATATTTCACTATGAGTGTTTGAAAGCCTAACTCACATTTAGTTTAATGATGTTAGTCAAATGAATAATTATATTTTGAAAAATTAGTTTAATCTAAAAGATTAATAAATGGCAATTGGGTAATATATTCGAAAGGTAGGGATATGGTCTAGATTCATAACTAATAATTCTGCAAAACTTCCATCAAAAACATAAGATATAATAACTATCAATGACGCAAAAATATATTTTATGGATCCCATACTAAGTAAAAATGTTTGGAAAAACTAAAAGCTAAATAAAGAGAGTCGATTTAAAACATTGAAAAAGGAAGCAATAGATTGAAATTGACATATTTATGTGGTTGAGTGGACATTATTATCAATGTTAACCTAGCCTACTTGTGGGTTTGGAGTCTAAGCAACTTTTACCATAACTATTACAAGACTCTAAAAGTAATATTTATGTCCAATACTTAAAGAATAATTGTTCAATTTACTACATAAACGGATTCGACACACACCCTTTCGAACTTTTTCTTTAGTTTAGAATTTAAGTTTTGTGTAGATTTTGAAAGAAAAAAAAAAGTGTTGGTTTGTTTTTGGAGGTTTTGATTTATAGAATTTTGAAACAAAAGTTAAAAGAGCAAATAGAAAAATTGTTTAATTATTATTTTTGCTTGAAATTGACAAAAAATAAAAATTTCCATAATTAGAGAAAATATTTGATACCTTGATTGGTTCTACTGTTAGCCGAAAATGAAACCCTAAGCTGAACTAACACTGATCTTTTGCTATTGTTACTTTTTCATCATCGGATTATTTTATAAATATTAATATTTTATTTTCAAAATCGAAAAATAGAAGTTTACTCATCTTACGAGAAATTGCTTTAATTTATTTCGTATTAAAGTACATATGTAGAAATTAATTTATGGTAAGAAAAATGTAACAAGTTTGAAATATCAATATATCCGGTTAAAATAATATTTTAAAAACACATATTTTAAGCAGTTTTAGAGATTGAGACACAATGACTCCACACGTCATCCCTCTTCTTCAAGTATTGTGTTTCACGGCCAACTAATGATGGTCTGTCAGCAATTTATTTAATGAGATTATCGTGACACACTTTTCATTCTTGGACAAGATCGTGGCAACAAGACTCAATGAGGGTTCCGTTTCCAAAAACAACAGCGATTATATTCAATGCACACTTAGGAGTGATTTTAACCAGACAAGTGTCCCATAATGTTTTTGCTTCAGCTTCTTCTACTGAAAATGCAGGAACAAACGCACACACCAATGCTACAACAATGAATAGCGCAGTAACATGGGAGCTTAGATTAGCCATATTTTTTTCTTATGCTTGGAATTTACCGACTTATTCTTACTGTATGAAAAGAATGTAATGAAGTATATATTTTTATTTGGTATTCTAGACAAGAAGCTATGTAAACTATTTATATGTTATTGAGTATCCAACGTAACTAAAATAAATTACAAAATAAACTTATGAAATTAATGTGAGTTTTTTTAACTTCTTGACAATTAAAAACAACGTACGTTAAAATTTATATTTTCGATCAGGTTTTTTGAAATTTAAATCCAAAAGTAATGCAAGTAGTGATATCAAGTTCAACTTACAAATTAATGATTGAATTTAAAATTATGTCAAAGTAGAAGCCAAATTATTAGATATGAAGTTCAAACTTGATATATATATATATATATATATATATATACTTGATATATATATAAGATTTTAAATTAAATAACTACAAGGTTCAAATATTAAGTCCTCTAAATATATTTCACTATGAGTGTTTGAAAGCCTAACTCACATTTAGTTTAATGATGTTAGTCAAATGAATAATTATATTTTGAAAAATTAGTTTAATCTAAAAGATTAATAAATGGCAATTGGGTAATATATTCGAAAGGTAGGGATATGGTCTAGATTCATAACTAATAATTCTGCAAAACTTCCATCAAAAACATAAGATATAATAACTATCAATGACGCAAAAATATATTTTATGGATCCCATACTAAGTAAAAATGTTTGGAAAAACTAAAAGCTAAATAAAGAGAGTCGATTTAAAACATTGAAAAAGGAAGCAATAGATTGAAATTGACATATTTATGTGGTTGAGTGGACATTATTATCAATGTTAACCTAGCCTACTTGTGGGTTTGGAGTCTAAGCAACTTTTACCATAACTATTACAAGACTCTAAAAGTAATATTTATGTCCAATACTTAAAGAATAATTGTTCAATTTACTACATAAACGGATTCGACACACACCCTTTCGAACTTTTTCTTTAGTTTAGAATTTAAGTTTTGTGTAGATTTTGAAAGAAAAAAAAAAGTGTTGGTTTGTTTTTGGAGGTTTTGATTTATAGAATTTTGAAACAAAAGTTAAAAGAGCAAATAGAAAAATTGTTTAATTATTATTTTTGCTTGAAATTGACAAAAAATAAAAATTTCCATAATTAGAGAAAATATTTGATACCTTGATTGGTTCTACTGTTAGCCGAAAATGAAACCCTAAGCTGAACTAACACTGATCTTTTGCTATTGTTACTTTTTCATCATCGGATTATTTTATAAATATTAATATTTTATTTTCAAAATCGAAAAATAGAAGTTTACTCATCTTACGAGAAATTGCTTTAATTTATTTCGTATTAAAGTACATATGTAGAAATTAATTTATGGTAACAAAAATGTAACAAGTTTGAAATATCAATATATCCGGTTAAAATAATATTTGAAAAACACATATTTTAAGCAGTTTTAGAGATTGAGACACAATGACTCCACACGTCATCCCTCTTCTTCAAGTATTGTGTTTCACGGCCAACTAATGATGGTCTGTCAGCAATTTATTTAATGAGATTATCGTGACACACTTTTCATTCTTGGACAAGATCGTGGCAACAAGACTCAATGAGGGTTCCGTTTCCAAAAACAACAGCGATTATATTCAATGCACACTTAGGAGTGATTTTAACCAGACAAGTGTCCCATAATGTTTTTGCTTCAGCTTCTTCTACTGAAAATGCAGGAACAAACGCACACACCAATGCTACAACAATGAATAGCGCATTAACATGGGAGCTTAGATTAGCCATATTTTTTTCTTATGCTTGGAATTTACCGACTTATTCTTACTGTATGAAAAGAATGTAATGAAGTATATATTTTTATTTGGTATTCTAGACAAGAAGCTATGTAAACTATTTATATGTTATTGAGTATCCAACGTAACTAAAATAAATTACAAAATAAACTTAAGAAATTAATGTGATTTTTTTAACTTCTTGACAATTAAAAACAACGTACGTTAAAATTTATATTTTCGATCAGGTTTTTTGAAATTTAAATCCAAAAGTAATGCAAGTAGTGATATCAAGTTCAACTTACAAATTAATGATTGAATTTAAAATTATGTCAAAGTAGAAGCCAAATTATTAGATATGAAGTTCAAACTTGATATATATATAAGATTTTAAATTAAATAACTACAAGGTTCAAATATTAAGTCCTCTAAATATATTTCACTATGAGTGTTTGAAAGCCTAACTCACATTTAGTTTAATGATGTTAGTCAAATGAATAATTATATTTTGAAAAATTAGTTTAATCTAAAAGATTAATAAATGGTAATTGGGTAATATATTCGAAAGGTAGGGATATGGTCTAGATTCATAACTAATAATTCTGCAAAACTTCCATCAAAAACATAAGATATAATAACTATCAATGACGCAAAAATATATTTTATGGATCCCATACTAAGTAAAAATGTTTGGAAAAACTAAAAGCTAAATAAAGAGAGTCGATTTAAAACATTGAAAAAGGAAGCAATAGATTGAAATTGACATATTTATGTGGTTGAGTGGACATTATTATCAATGTTAACCTAGCCTACTTGTGGGTTTGGAGTCTAAGCAACTTTTACCATAACCATTACAAGACTCTAAAAGTAATATTTATGACCAATACTTAAAGAATAATTGTTCAATTTACTACATAAACGGATTCGACACACACCCTTTCGAACTTTTTCTTTAGTTTAGAATTTAAGTTTTGTGTAGATTTTGAAAGAAAAAAAAAAGTGTTGGTTTGTTTTTGGAGGTTTTGATTTATAGAATTTTGAAATAAAAGTTAAAAGAGCAAATAGAAAAATTGTTTAATTATTATTTTTGCTTGAAATTGACAAAAAATAAATATTTCCATAATTAGAGAAAATATTTGATACCTTGATTAGATTCTACTGTTAGCCAAAAATGAAACCCTAAGCTGAACTAACACTGATCTTTTGCTATTGTTACTTTTTCATCATCGGATTATTTTATAAATGTTAATATTTTATATTCAAAATCGAAAAATAGAAGTTTACTCATCTTACGAGAAATTGCTTTAATTTATTTCGTATTAAAGTACATATGTAGAAATTAATTTATGGTAACAAAAATGTAACAAGTTTGAAATATCAATATATCCGGTTAAAATAATATTTTAAAAACACATATTTTAAGCAGTTTTAGAGATTGAGACACAATGACTCCACACGTCATCCCTCTTCTTCAAGTATTGTGTTTCACGGCCAACTAATGATGGTCTGTCAGCAATATATTTAATGAGATTATCGTGACACACTTTTCCTTCTTGGACAAGATCGTGGCAACAAGACTCAATGAGGGTTCCGTTTCCAAAAACAACAGCGATTATATTCAATGCACACTTAGGAGTGATTTTAACCAGACAAGTGTCCCATAATGTTTTTGCTTCAGCTTCTTCTACTGAAAATGCAGGAACAAACGCACACACCAATGCTACAACAATGAATAGCGCAGTAACATGGGAGCTTAGATTAGCCATATTTTTTTCTTATGCTTGGAATTTACCGACTTATTCTTACTGTATGAAAAGAATGTAATGAAGTATATATTTTTATTTGGTATTCTAGACAAGAAGCTATGTAAACTATTTATATGTTATTGAGTATCCAACGTAACTAAAATAAATTACAAAATAAACTTAAGAAATTAATGTGATTTTTTTAACTTCTTGACAATTAAAAACAACGTACGTTAAAATTTATATTTTCGATCAGGTTTTTTGAAATTTAAATACAAAAGTAATGCAAGTAGTGATATCAAGTTCAACTTACAAATTAATGATTGAATTTAAAATTATGTCAAAGTAGAAGCCAAATTATTAGATATGAATTTCAAACTTGATATATATATATATATATATATATATATATATATAAGATTTTAAATTAAATAACTACAAGGTTCAAATATTAAGTCCTCTAAATATATTTCACTATGAGTGTTTGAAAGCCTAACTCACATTTAGTTTAATGATGTTAGTCAAATGAATAATTATATTTTGAAAAATTAGTTTAATCTAAAAGATTAATAAATGGCAATTGGGTAATATATTCGAAAGGTAGGGATATGGTCTAGATTCATAACTAATAATTCTGCAAAACTTCCATCAAAAACATAAGATATAATAACTATCAATGACGCAAAAATATATTTTATGGATCCCATACTAAGTAAAAATGTTTGGAAAAACTAAAAGCTAAATAAAGAGAGTCGATTTAAAACATTGAAAAAGGAAGCAATAGATTGAAATTGACATATTTATGTGGTTGAGTGGACATTATTATCAATGTTAACCTAGCCTACTTGTGGGTTTGGAGTCTAAGCAACTTTTACCATAACTATTACAAGACTCTAAAAGTAATATTTATGTCCAATACTTAAAGAATAATTGTTCAATTTACTACATAAACGGATTCGACACACACCCTTTCGAACTTTTTCTTTAGTTTAGAATTTAAGTTTTGTGTAGATTTTGAAAGAAAAAAAAAAGTGTTGGTTTGTTTTTGGAGGTTTTGATTTATAGAATTTTGAAAGAAAAGTTAAAAGAGCAAATAGAAAAATTGTTTAATTATTATTTTGCTTGAAATTGACAAAAAATAAATATTTCCATAATTAGAGAAAATATTTGATACCTTGATTGGATTCTACTGTTAGCCGAAAATGAAACCCTAAGCTGAACTAACACTGATCTTTTGCTATTGTTACTTTTTCATCATCGGATTATTTTATAAATGTTAATATTTTATTTTCAAAATCGAAAAATAGAAATTTACTCATCTTACGAGAAATTGCTTTAATTTATTTCGTATTAAAGTACATACGTAGAAATTAATTTATGGTAACAAAAATGTAACAAGTTTGAAATATCAATATATCCGGTTAAAATAATATTTTAAAAACACATTTTTAAGCAGTTTTAGAGATTGAGACACAATGACTCCACACGTCATCCCTCTTCTTCAAGTATTGTGTTTCACGGCCAACTAATGATGGTCTGTCAGCAATATATTTAATGAGATTATCGTGACACACTTTTCCTTCTTGGACAAGATCGTGGCAACAAGACTCAATGAGGGTTCCGTTTCCAAAAACAACAGCGATTATATTCAATGCACACTTAGGAGTGATTTTAACCAGACAAGTGTCCCATAATGTTTTTGCTTCAGCTTCTTCTACTGAAAATGCAGGAACAAACACACACATACCAATGCTACAACAATGAATAGCGCAGTAACATGGGAGCTTAGATTAGCCATATTTTTTCCTTATGCTTGGAATTTACCGACTTATTCTTACTGTATGAAAAGAATGTAATGAAGTATATATTTTTATTTGGTATTCTAGACAAGAAGCTATGTAAACTATTTATATGTTATTGAGTATCCAACGTAACTAAAATAAATTACAAAATAAACTTAAGAAATTAATGTGAGTTTTTTAACTTCTTGACAATTAAAAACAACGTACGTTAAAATTTATATTTTCGATCAGGTTTTTTGAAATTTAAATCCAAAAGTAATGCAATTAGTGATATCAAGTTCAACTTACAAATTAATGATTGAATTTAAAATAATGTCAAAGTAGAAGCCAATTTATTAGATATGAAGTTCAAACTTGATATATATATAAGATTTTAAATTAAATAACTACAAGGTTCAAATATTAAGTCCTCTAAATATATTTCACTATGAGTGTTTGAAAGCCTAACTCACATTTAGTTTAATGATGTTAGTTAAATGAATAATTATATTTTGAAAAATTAGTTTAATCTAAAAGATTAATAAATGGCAATTGGGTAATATATTCGAAAGGTAGGGATATGGTCTAGATTCATAACTAATAATTCTGCAAAACTTCCATCAAAAACATAAGATATAATAACTATCAATGACGCAAAAATATATTTTATGGATCCCATACTAAGTAAAAATGTTTGGAAAAACTAAAAGCTAAATAAAGAGAGTCGATTTAAAACATTGAAAAAGGAAGCAATAGATTGAAATTGACATATTTATGTGGTTGAGTGGACATTATTATCAATGTTAACCTAGCCTACTTGTGGGTTTGGAGTCTAAGCAACTTTTACCATAACTATTACAAGACTCTAAAAGTAATATTTATGTCCAATACTTAAAGAATAATTGTTCAATTTACTACATAAACGGATTCGACACACACCCTTTCGAACTTTTTCTTTAGTTTAGAATTTAAGTTTTGTGTAGATTTTGAAAGAAAAAAAAAAGTGTTGGTTTGTTTTTGGAGGTTTTGATTTATAGAATTTTGAAAGAAAAGTTAAAAGAGCAAATAGAAAAATTGTTTAATTATTATTTTGCTTGAAATTGACAAAAAATAAATATTTCCATAATTAGAGAAAATATTTGATACCTTGATTGGATTCTACTGTTAGCCGAAAATGAAACCCTAAGCTGAACTAACACTGATCTTTTGCTATTGTTACTTTTTCATCATCGGATTATTTTATAAATGTTAATATTTTATTTTCAAAATCGAAAAATAGAAGTTTACTCATCTTACGAGAAATTGCTTTAATTTATTTTGTATTAAAGTACATACGTAGAAATTAATTTATGGTAACAAAAATGTAACAAGTTTGAAATATCAATATATCCGGTTAAAATAATATTTTAAAAACACATATTTTAAGTAGTTTTAGAGATTGAGACACAATGACTCCACACGTCATCCCTCTTCTTCAAGTATTGTGTTTCACGGCCAACTAATGATGGTCTGTCAGCAATATATTTAATGAGATTATCGTGACACACTTTTCCTTCTTGGACAAGATCGTGGCAACAAGACTCAATGAGGGTTCCGTTTCCAAAAACAACAGCGATTATATTCAATGCACACTTAGGAGTGATTTTAACCAGACAAGTGTCCCATAATGTTTTTGCTTCAGCTTCTTCTACTGAAAATGCAGGAACAAACGCACACACCTATGCTACAACAATGAATAGCGCACTAACATGGGAGCTTAGATTAGCCATATTTTTTTCTTATGCTTGGAATTTACCGACTTATTCTTACTGTATGAAAAGAATGTAATGAAGTATATATTTTTATTTGGTATTCTAGACAAGAAGCTATGGAAACTATTTATATGTTATTGAGTATCCAACGTAACTAAAATAAATTACAAAATAAACTTATGAAATTAATGTGAGTTTTTTTAACTTCTTGACAATTAAAAACAACGTACGTTAAAATTTATATTTTCGATCAGGTTTTTTGAAATTTAAATCCAAAAGTAATGCAAGTAGTGATATCAAGTTCAACTTACAAATTAATGATTGAATTTAAAATTATGTCAAAGTAGAAGCCAAATTATTAGATATGAAGTTCAAACTTGATATATATATAAGATTTTAAATTAAATAACTACAAGGTTCAAATATTAAGTCCTCTAAATATATTTCACTATGAGTGTTTGAAAGCCTAACTCACATTTAGTTTAATGATGTTAGTCAAATGAATAATTATATTTTGAAAAATTAGTTTAATCTAAAAGATTAATAAATGGCAATTGGGTAATATATTCGAAAGGTAGGGATATGGTCTAGATTCATAACTAATAATTCTGCAAAACTTCCATCAAAAATATAAGATATAATAACTATCAATGACGCAAAAATATATTTTATGGATCCCATACTAAGTAAAAATGTTTGGAAAAACTAAAAGCTAAATAAAGAGAGTCGATTTAAAACATTGAAAAAGGAAGCAATAGATTGAAATTGACATATTTATGTGGTTGAGTGGACATTATTATCAATGTTAACCTAGCCTACTTGTGGGTTTGGAGTCTAAGCAACTTTCCATAA